ACACACCCCCTCCTCAGGGAGAGGAGCTGAGTAGCTCTGACCCCTCACTTTCTAGAAAGATCCGAGTGTGAAGGACGCAGCCCTGGCTGGAGAAACCCGACTGCTTTTTAGATGGAGCGCCGTGTGTTTGCCGCTGTCCCCTGCGCTGGATGTCAGTTCTGCTTGCTGCACGGGCAGGTGGCTGTGGGCAGGACGGGCTCCAGGACTCAGGATGGAGGGGAGAAGCAGGTGACCCCATACCAGGTTCTGGAGCGTGTTCCAGTGGCGGAGGGTGGGCTTCTGGGCAAGATGTGCCCCTGCCGGTCTGAAAGGCAGCTGCACCCCCCCACAGCCATCCAACCCTGCTGCCACCGCGCTTGGGTGTGGTCCACCTGCAAGCCGTCCCCTCTGCCTGCCCCGGACGCTGCCGTCTTTGCCATCATCACATGAGTTCTGACGACGGGAAAGTTGAGTTTTCAGAAAGGCTCACGCTGTTGTTGCTAAGGCAACTGACGAGCGGTGTCTGCAGAGCTGAGAGCTGAGTCGGCCTGTGTGCCCCCCTCTCCCAAAAGGCCCAGGTAGACTGCGTGCCCCTCTGCACCTGCATGTCGGTTCCGGAGGCGCCTCTCCCCTTTCTGTCGTCCTGGGGGGGTCTTGGCTCCTCAAGCCTCTGTGGCAGGAGGAGCTGGTGTGGACGCCTGACTCGGGGCTGCCCCGTATCGGCTCGGAGCTCACTGCCCGGGACGTGGCCCTGCGGCTGCTTTTATTGTCTTGCTCGGGAAACTTTCCCGGGCAGACGGCGCGTGGATGGGGCCACAAGGAGACCGATTGTGGGGGGTCTGTCTGCGCTGCTGGGCTGAAGGGCTCTGGTCACTTTTCTGAAGCAATTAAACCATGTTCAGACAGGTTTCATCATACATAGAAGAAATAGGTCCGTGCTGGATGGTAAAACAGCGAGGGATGGAAGGAACATTTTTGGAATCAATCGCTGTTAGATTTTGTTCTAATATCTAACATTTTTCTTAAAACTGTGTGGTCATCCCCCCGTGTAGCTTCCAGTAGGTTCATTTGGATATTGCATCCCTTATTTTTGTTGAATTTCTCATTGAAATATTGGTTCTTAGGTGTTGATGTCAAGAGGTGGTGGTGGTGGTTTTTTTTTTTTAATTATCAAAATGTTACTCTTTCTTCAACCTAGAGAATTTCAGTCACGAAGGGCTGGTCCTTCACTTAGGCCAACTCGCGGCCGCAGCCTTGCTTCGTGTTGGCGTTCGTTTCGGGCTCCTCGGCACACGTACCATTGTCGCGGCTCGTGGATGGGTGGCCTCACACCCTTGGGTACACGTGTGGGGGGGTGGGAATGAAGAGTCCTCTACACCCTGGGCGTGTTCACTCACTGATTTCGACTGCGTCTGAAATAATCAGTTTTGACCTCTGCCCATCTGGCAGCTTTATGTAACTCGGGTGCCCAAGAAAACATTCATTTATTTTAAACAAAACCATTTGAATCTCCAGCTCCCACCATGAGTAGCTCTCCCAGGCTTACCCTCCGGTAGAACCCCGACCACGCACACGCGCACACCGTGGTGGGGAGCCCAGCACAGGCGGGACCCAAAGGGTGGTGGTCGGGAGGGACAGACTGTGTTCTCACCGCCGTTTTCTTCGGTACGTTTCCCCAGACGGTGGAGCAGGAAGCAGGCTCAGCCAGGCGTAGCACATTTTGTGCCAAGAAAGTGGCCCGTGTGCTAACTGACAGAACCACGCGACCAAAGCCCACTGGGAAAAGCAGTCAGATGTTGTTGTCACCGGACAGGGCTTGAAGATGTCCCTCGCCCACACCTCAAGGAAGAGGTGAACAAAATGGATGCGACGATGGGGAATTTCGAGAGGAGGGGGATCTACAGAAAAGAGTGACGTGAACATTCTGGAACTGAAAGTCAGTATCGGAAAGTGAGAATTCCTTGCATCGTTCAACAGCAGGGCGGAAACAGCAGGAGACAGGGTTGGTGAACTGGAAGACAGAGACACGGAAACATCCACAGTAAAGCTCAGGAAGAGAAAAGGAGAGAGAGCAAAGAGACACACGGAACACAGAGAGCACGTATAATGTGTGTAATCGGGGTTCCCAAGCGCGGGAGAAAATGGAGCAGGAATGGAATCACCGTGAAGAGACGGTGACAGAACTTTCCCAAATGGATAACAGATGTCAATCTGTAGTTTCAAGGAGCTTTGTAAACCCAAAGCAGAATGAAGACCAAAGTAGAACAATAGCAACAATGACCCAAAAAGCATACAAAAAAAACCTAAACAACAACAAAAAAACAATATCTGCTCCTGGCTGGTGAGGCTCAGTTGGTGTTGAGTATTGTCCTTGCTCTGAAAGGTCACCAGTGTAAGTGCCAGTCAGGGCACATACCCAGATTTTGGGTTTGATGCTGGGGTCCTTGGTCAGGGTGTGTACAGGAGGCAACCGACAGGTGTTTTTCTCTCACATCAGTTTCTCTCTTTCTCTTTGTCTCCCTCCCTCTCCCTTCCTCTCTCTGATATCAATAACAACATATATTTTTCCTTCTTTATTGATTTTAGAGACAGAGGAAGGAAGAAGGAGAGAGAGATAGAAACATTGATTGGCCACCTCCTACATGTCCCCCACTGGGAATTTGGCCCACAACCTGGGCATGTGTCCTGACCGGGGATCGAACCGGCGGCCTCTTGGTGCAGGGTCGACGCTCAACCACTGAGTCACACTGACCGGGCTAAAACATATTAAAAAAAAACAAACAAAAAAAGAATATCTGGGAACACATTATAGTCAAACTCTTGAAAACCAAAGACAAAAACATCCTAAAGACAGTCAGAGAATAAAAACACTTCTTTCAGAGGAACAGGCTGAGAGCTGACGTTTCAGTAGAAACTACAGAAGCTGAGACAGTGAGTGTCGTCACTCAAGGTCTGCCAACGTCGAATTCTATACCCAGCAAACATGTCCTTCAGAAATCAGGCCTGTGTGAGGACATCATTGTGCAAAGTGAAAGAACTTGTTGCAGCTGACAAGACACACCAACAACAGCCTAAGGCCAAAGGAACGTGCCCCAGACAGAAGCCCAGACGGAAGTGAGGATCAGGGATGCCAGGGGTGACTGTGGGTCCAATAGAAATAGTCAGGACGTTGAGAGTCATGTTTCTAGTTCTCTGTGGGTCTTTTTTAAAAAAATATGCTCTTACGGATTTTTGAGAGAGAGAGGGAAGGAAAGGGAGAGATAGAAACATCGATGTGAGAGAGAAACATCCATCGGCCGCCTCCTGCACGCCCCCTATTGGGGATTGAGCCGGAAACCCGGGCATGTGCCCTGACCAGGAATCGACCGGGGACCTCTCTGTCCATGGGACGGCGCTCAATACAGTGAGCCACACTGGTCGGGCGCCTGTGGGTTTTTAGCGGGAACCGAACCCGGGTCTCTCCGGACCGCAGGCTGACGCTCTAACCACTGAGCCAAACTGGCCAGGGCGGGGCCTGTGAGTTTTTAAAAAAACACAGATAGGAATGTAATACCTGACCGACCAGGCAGGTCTGGGTCAACGCGTGCATCCTAGGAGGTGTGCCCCTGGCAGAGAGCTTCCGGGTGTGCCTGGTTGGGGCCCCTGGCAGAGAGTCGCTCTGTGACGTGCTAGAAAACCCGGGAATCTGGTTGCTCGATCATTTTGACACTCTTCGAGAGCTCTTGGGAGACACGAGATGACTCTTTGAGAAGCAGATCAGACTGCTGCACTGATCTCCCCACAGCTAAGCGCCGTGTTTCAGGAACATGCTGCCAGGCGAGGGCCAGCTTCGCGACGCATGTCCAGGGGCCACTGTGCTGGGGGCCACAGGCCATGCTTCCTGGAGGTGAGGGAGAGGGGCCCCTGCCTGTGCCATGGCGGGTGGTCCAGGGGCGGGCGTGTGAGCTTATGGAAACCAGCTGGTCCATCTTCCAGACAGCTGCCCCGCCCCCAAAGGGCCCAGGGTCACCGTTCTGCTCTCCTGGGCTGTGACTGCCTCCCTCTCAGCACCTGCAGGACGGTTGTGACCATGGGTCTGAGGGTGCAGCCAGAGGCCACCCTGCCCTGACTGGCTGTCCCCCGTCCTGTGGTGGTCATTCCGGCAGCTGCCTGCAGCTGTGTCCAGTGTTCTTGTCGCTCGGTCTGTCCTCTGGGTGCCGAGGGCCCGGGAAGCTGCATCCTGGTGCCGGAGGGCAGAAGCCCACTACCGGGCTCCTCGCTCCGTGGAGACTGTGCCTGAGGGCCTTGGGCTGCTCTCAGCTGTCCTGGAGAAACCCAGGCAGACTTTGGGTTTCTGGGGTGCTGGGGGACTCCCTGTGGGCTCAAGAGGGGGTGACTGTGGTGTCTGGGCTGTCCCAGTGCCCAGTGGGGCCCTGTGCAATGAGGCCGACATCTGGGACCCCAAACCCCAGCCGCCACAAGAGACCACCTGAGAAGAGGAAGGGGCACCTCTGGGGGCAGGGCTGGTCCTGGTGTGGGTCCGACCCCCTGGGTGGCCCTCGGGGACCCATGGGGGTTTCTTGAAATGGGAAAGTTAGACCGGGGATGAGCCTCATTCCGAGGCAGAGGCTGCTTGCTGTTCTCACTGCGTGTGGGGGGACCTGGCCTCTCACCGGCCCGCGTTGGTGGGTGGGGCACTTCCCTGCGGGGACCGGGGTTCCCTGCAGGGACCATCCCTCTGGGCGTTCACAGGGTGGAGGTGGGGCCTTGGGCGCTGTGAGCAGAGCTGTGAGCTCAGGGCTGTCCTCTGGCTTGCCCTGGGCGGAACCGTGTTTCTGCTGATTGAATGTGTGGATTTCGCTGTTTTAGATGCTGACTTGTCAGGTGTCAGCTGTCTGAGAGGTGGACGCAGTTGCCTCTGGCCTTCGCCTGGCTGTCGGCACCTGGGACACCTGTGCCCGGGTGGGGAGCGGGGCCGCGGGCGGACAGCGTGCGGGGCGCGTTGGAGGGCCGTTGGCGACCCGCTCTGTGTTGTCTTCCAGTCAACGAGTTCACGGTCATCAGGAAGAAGTTCAAGTGCCCCTACTGCAGCTTCTCGGCCATGCATCAGTGCATCCTCAAGCGCCACATGCGCTCCCACACCGGCGAGCGGCCCTACCCCTGCGAGATCTGCGGGAAGAAGTTCACGCGGCGCGAGCACATGAAGCGGCACACGTTGGTGAGTGCGGGCAGGGGGCCCAGGCACAAGTGGAGAGGGGCAGAGGGCTTTGGGGTGATGTCTCGAGTTGAGGAATCTTGGGGGCATCCAGAGTCGTCTATGGGGTGCACAGGCTTTGCTGGACACCCGTGACATGCTGACCTGCTGACCATCGGAAGCAGACCCACCAGGAAGCCTGACAGGGCAGAGCCATCCAGGCCGGTCTGGAGGGTGCATATCAGATCCGTGAGGGTGGTCCCGACAATTGGGTGACAGTCTGGGGAGTGTGGCAAGACCCTCAGGCTTGACTCCTGACCGGGCGGCCACGGGAGCAAGCAGGGTCTTTGCTACGGGTGTCTGTCGATGTGCTGAGCAGAGCCCACCACCTGGGCCCGAGCACAGTGCAGGGGCTCGGGCTGCGTCGGGGTCCCATTAGGACTTGGCTGTAGTTGGACCTTCTGGTCTGCCCTTCACACCAGGCAGCCTTAGCAGGTTGTTTGCTTGTCTAGCCCAACGGGGACACTGATTTGGGGTGAGGACACCTAGGGGAGATCCCTTGAGATCAGGTCAAAAAGCTGGAAGGGAGAATAGCTCTGGGAGTGGGCGCCCCCTCCCGGCTGACTGAGAGAGGCTCATGCCCCCCCGCTGGCCCCATGAGCCACAGTTAGGGAGTGTGTCAGAGAGGACATGCCCTGGGCAGGCCCTGGCCTTCCCTGCTCCCCAGGTGGGCTCCAGCCGGGACTGCAGAGGCAGGTTGGCAGCCCAGGAGCACAAAGCCCCCTCAATGCCCCCTCTACGCCCTGACTTAGAATCCCCCCTTCTCCAGCGGCTTCTGCTTCTGCTCCATCCAGAGTGAACCCCAGGGCTCCCTTCGGCCAGTGCTTGACACAGAGAGAGATGTATCTCCCGCCAGAGGGAAGTGTATCTTTTTGTTTGTTACACTAACAAGTGCTGGGAAGTGGGTAACATGAATTGCTACGTTTCTCCCCCCAGTCACCTGGTAAATTGATTTCTAAATAATCCCACTGAAGTGGAAGGGCATTTGTGGGCTGGGTTGCGATGGCACTGACGGAAACGCAGGAATTTCAGCGGAGTTATGTGAGAAGCTGGAAAAATAGTTTGCAACGAACCCCTGGACGTGTGAAAATCAAAACTGATCTCGATCGAATGAAGACTTATATTTAGTTAGAAAAAGTTGGAATGAGTCAGTGACCTTAGAACACACATTGTTGATCAAAGGAAACTAACTCATGGAATAACCTTTATAGACAGAGCCTATAAATCAGAGTTGACTGAAGGAACGTCTGTGGCTGATTCTGATGTTTAATAGGAATCCCAGCATCTGTTACAAGTAATTGGTCACAACTAGAGGTGTTTTTAGGCTGATTACCCTGGTTTCACTGGGCATCCCCTGGGAACATTCACAGTTGTTGTTGTTTTTTTTTTTTTAAATAACTTTACATTTAATTTTTCCATGACAGGTTACATTCAGTACTATTTTGTATTAATTTCAGGCACCCAGTATAGTGGTTATACCATCATGTACTTTACAAAGTGTTCCCCCCGACATTTCCAGCACTCCCTGGCACCTTGCATAGTCCGGGAAGCTACAGCTTTTCTTTAGCAAAACCACATTTGCCGTCAGTGAACAGTGATCCTTGTGGAGGGTCAGGGTCCGCATTGCCCACTCACCTGGAAATTTTATCCCAGATTTATGGCTGGGCTTCAGGGAGGGTCAGAAATCCCTGAAAATGTACTTGGAACATGAGGGTTGTTTTCCTCTGATTTAGAGGACTTCTCCTTTAATTTCTCCAGGGTCCCTGACCCCGAGGAGGTGGCTGGGTCCTGTCCAGCAGGCATCTCGAGCCATGGTTACCATGGTGCCCGCATCCCTCCCTCCCCCTCCCTTCCATTAGTGCATGTGGATAAGCGCCGGCCATCTGGTCCTGGCCCGAGTGCCCTTGCTGCTCCCTGTCCTGGTGCAGCCCGAGCTCCCTGCAGCTGGCACCCAGGCTGCCCACGGCCCTGCTCCGGGACAGTTTCTTTGAGATTGGGCCTTGAGTTTTTGTTCTTTGTTGGGGAAGAGTTAAAGAACTCCCGGATTTAAAATGTGTCCCACAAACCAAAGGCCCCGGAGGGTCCAGGAGACCCTGTTACTAGAACCAGACCCCCGGAGGGGGTGTGCAGTGCCTTGCTCCAAGGGCCTCACCCAGCTTCCCGTAGATGGTGTGGCAGGAGGACCGTCCGGGGACGCCAGGGCGGGAAGCCGGGGAACGCCCAGGACACCCCGCTTACGCCCCCGCTCACAGCCCTGCTCACGGCCGCCTGTCCCTGCAGGTGCACAGCAAGGACAAGAAGTACGTGTGCAAGCTGTGCAGCCGCGTGTTCATGTCAGCCGCCAGCGTGGGCATCAAGCACGGCTCGCGGCGCCACGGCGTGTGTGCTGACTGCGCGGGCCGCGGCCTGGCCGGGCCGCTGGATGCCGGCGGGGCCGAGGGCTCCCCGGAGCTCTTCTCCGGGGACGGGCCCTACCTGGAGGACCCCGACGACCCCCGCGGGGAGGGCGAGGAGGAGCTGGGCGAGGACGAGGACGATGTCGGCCTGGCCCAGGAGGACACGCTGCTGGGGGACGACAAGGATGAGGAGGACTCGCCGCCGGGGCCTCGCAGCCCCTCGGGGGGTCCCGACAAGGACTTTGCCTGGATCTCCTAGGCACCTGGGCTGGGCACTGGGGTGGTGGCAGTGCCACCCCTCCACCTGTGTGTGTGTGCTTAGGGGTCTCCCTCGCCCGGGGCGGGGCCCTCTGACCCCTCACAGCCTCTCCTCCGGGCCCCCCTTTATTCTGCTCCTGCCCCCCCCAGATATATACAGAGAAGCCGGCCCTGTGGTCTCAGAAGCAGGTGTGGGGGCTCTGGGACCAAACACGAAGTTGGTGGGGTGCAGGGCGGGTTCCCACCTGTCATCTCGGCAAACAGAGGGTCCCCGGCAGGTGCTTGTGGGGGGAGCGGCAGGGGGCCTGTGTGGCCGGCCTGGCCTTGGGTGTGTGTGGTGCAGTGGCCAGGTCTGGGTCAGCAGTGCTCTGGGGTTGAGTGTGACCCTGAGGTCACGGGTCCGAGAGCTGAGGAGTTCTGCACCCACCCACAGCATCCAGGCCCCAGTCCTCCCCCGCCCCAGCTCCTTCTCAGCAGCCCCTCACTGCCTGTACCCTTTGCCTTCGAGGCCCGCCTGCCCCTGGGCCACCTGCAGAGCCAGGTCCAGTGTACAGAAAGCCGAGGCCCTCGGCCTCTGGGCTTTGGTGCTCAACACAAAACAGCTGCGGAAGCCCCGCTGGGGCCACGGGCTCCCAGGTGCTAACTTCTGGAGGAGGCGGGGGGGGGGGGGCTTGGGGTCCTGTCAGGGGTTCCACTCTTTGTTCCGTGTGCACTTCCTTGGGGAGCCTGGGGCGGCCTCGTCCCCTGGCCCTGCCCGCCCTGTCGCACCCAGGCCCCTCCTGCCTGCCTTGCTGCTAACACTGGAGTCAGTGCCCCGCCCGCCGCCTGCGCACGCCTCCCTCTGGGTAACCAAACCTCCAAGCAGAGACGGTGAGGCAGTCACAGTCATCGTCTGGCATTATTTTTCTCACTTGACACACATGCGGACTTGTCTGTCCCTGAGCTTGTTGCCAGGTCCCCTCGCTGTCTTTTCAAACACGCTCACGACCTGGTCTCCGCTTTGTTCCGAGAGCGAAGGGCAGAGGCTCCGCGCGTGTGTGGCTGCTGGGCCAGGACAGACCCCGTCTGTCCTCTTCCTGGTCGGGCTGCTCTGGCTCCACTGTCACTCAGACCGTCCACCTCTCGCCACCTGCTCGGTGCAGCCCTCTGCCTCAGCCCCGCCCCCTGCAAGGACCCGAGGGTGCCAGAGAGGCCAGGTTTTCTTCTCTTTCCCCACAGACTCTGAGCCAAATGGCTTTTACCAAGTTTTTTATTGGGTCACATCTATTCCCTCCAGGTGGAACACCCCACAAGCCCTCATGTAGGCTCCTGTGCCCCCGAGGGCACAGCCCAGCCCTGGCCTCCTGCTGGGGTGGGGTGGGGGACCCGGCTGGCTCCAGTGGGAGTGTGGGACGCGGTGCTGTCCTCCAAGTCCTGAGCCCAGGGGAGAAGTCGCTGCTTTTGCTTTCACTTATTTATTTTTAAAATAAAATCAGCCACCCGTCCTATCTATCGGTTAGAAGAGGGCACTCTCCAAGGAGCTGTGGCCTGGAGGTACTCCCTCAGCTGGGGACATGTGAGGTCCTGACGCTGGTGTGTTTAAAGGGCCAAGGTTGTCCCCAACAGGAGGCCCCCCCACGCTGCCAGCTCTTCCCGCAGAGGGTGAGCCAGGCCCTGCGGGGGCTTCTGGACGTGCTCCCTGCCGATCACTAGTGGGGCAGGGCCGAGCCTCCACTGGACTCTCAGAACTTGTACCTCCCCCCACTTTCTAGCCTCTTTTCTAAACAGACCTACTTTCTTAGAAAACGCACTTGGAAACCAGACCTTTGCTGCCGACAGGGGTCTCTGGGTTTTGTACCGGTCCCACCTCTCAGGCCGCCCTGCCCACGCCCAGGCTGCCACCTCCACACTCAGGACCCCAGAACGTCTTGCTCTTTCTGACCTGCTCGCCGCCCCTGCTGACCTTCGGGGGGTTGCTGCCCGTGCCACAGAGGCATCCTGTTCCTTAGAACCAACACTGTACTGGAAAAGCGGGGGCCCATGTCCTGCCGAGCCCCTGCGTTCGCGGTCGGCCGGGTCGTCGGCGGGATGGAGATGAACACGTCACCTCTCAGGAGGTGTGGAGGGAAAGGCGTGTCAAGAGTTTTTTATGTGACTGATTTTTTTTTTTTTCAAATCAATGTTTAAGCTAATAAATATTTTTTTTATGAAGAGGAAAAACTGTGTAGATTACATTTCACACTTTGTACTTTTCTGTTTGTGTCTGTCTGTATTTTGGTGTTTGCAACACCAAAGTGGAAAAACACAGCCCGCTGGGTGGTGAGTCCTTCAGGGGCGGGGGGCGGGGAACCCCGACTTTTGTACTAAGCTCTGGATCCTGACCAGGGTGTTTCTTTGGACCCTGGGTTTTGGGAAACAGTCACAACACTGCCAGGACTCCGTAGGGACCTCGACTCAAGACACAGCTACTGCTTCCAACTTTGCACATTTTTCTTTATAAAAAAAACCGAGAAAATGCAAAAACTGGAACTTTTTGCAATATGATGAGAGATGATCTTATTTTCGCTCATTCTGTGACCTGTGCAGCTCTTCGAAAGCCATACTTTGTGGTTGTTTTTTAGACCCTCTGTTGTGTTTCGTGTGCGGCCCTTTCAGGACTACTTGCAGTGAGGGTGCTGTGTGTGTGCTTTTCTTAAATATTTATTTTTTCAACATGCTTTCAACCTGTCAACGAAAACCAGACAGACAGAAAAAGGGCAGTGTTTGAAGATTGTTGATTTTTTTTTTTTTTCTGGGGATAATCTATATTATACTGACTTTATATCACTTGTTATAAACCTGTGTTGTACTGGAGATGTGGTTGATATCCGGGGAAGGTTCCGCAGCCGGTCGGCGCGAAACCAGAGCTCTGTGTCCACGCCGCGGTTGCGCAGGTGCACAGTATCTTCTCTGGTGGTCTTGCGATTTCTTACCTGCCCGGGCTCCGGCCTGCCTGTGGGTTTCCTTTCTGTGACGGGATTAGCGTAGACATTCTTGCAAAGCGATCACTTTCAATAAATTGGGAACTTGCTGCTCGAGCAGACGCCTCGTGTGTGTTTCAGACAGGGTCCCCTCCTGTAGCCCCACACCCAGTGGAGGTGGCCAGTGACCCCAGCCCTTGGTGGGCCTTTCCGGATCGCCCAGCCCCGCACCGGGCCTGTGGTGGGGTCCCAGATCCATGCCCTTTCCCCCCTAGAAGGCAGACACCGCTTCTGGAAAAACCCCAAATCTTTAATTTTTCTCCTCGCCTGGCACAGCCCAGACGCAAGACACCTGAGCTTCACAAATGGTACAAATGTCAGCCCCAGGGCCCTTGAACCATCAGGATAAGTGCGGTGGGGGAGGCCCCTCCTGACCCCCCTCAAAGTGCATCCAGGTCTGGCTCCCACGTGGCCTCAAAGCCGGGCCCATCAGCACCCTTGACAAGTCCATGGACAGGCAGGGAGGGCGGCCACCCTAGGGACCCTGGTGTGGCTTTAGTGCAAAAGCCTGGTTTTTTCAGAGGCACTTTGAGTGGTGGGACCTCTCCCACCTCTGGGGATCCAGGGTCACTGACGCCCCTCCCCCACTAAGAAAGCAGAGCCTGCAGGTGGGAGCGGCCCCGGAGGGGCTCAGGCCACGGCGCTCAGGCCACGAAGCGCTGGCAGGCCTTCTTCCAGCGGCAGGCCGAGCACCACAGGTCCCGGCGCTCCATGCCGTACACTTTCCGGCACTTCTTGGCGTCACCTCGGGGCTTCCTAGGGGAACACACAGGGGCATGGGGTGCTGTTGGGGTGGGACCCTCCCCGCCTGCCACCTGCCCCTCCATACACACGCACCTCAGGTTGGCAGTAAGCTTGGAGGGTAAGGCTGACACACAGGCTCCGGCTGGGCTGGGCTGTGGCTGCAGCTGGGTGGGTGCCAGGCAGCCCTGGAAGGAGACGCAGCTGAGGTGTTGCTCCCTTCCGGGGCATTCCCGGGATCCACCCCAGCTGCTGCCTGTGACCTCACCCACCTGGTAGGAGTGGTCGCTGTGGCACACCTGGGGTGGGGGTAAGGTCAGCGGGTGCAGCAGGCTGGGCAAGGCTGGGGGCTCCGGCAGCTCCAAGTGGGGGAAGGTGGGTGGCAGGGAGGCCATCGGGGACATTGGGGTCAGGCTGGACAGCCCATCGGTCAGCACCTCCAGACCAATGTCCAATTCCGTGTAGTAAAAGTCCTCCTCGCCATCACTCTGCTCTGACTCTGCCTGCCGCCTGCTGGGGGCAGAAGAGGTGGGAGCTGAAGTGCGGGCCACCTGGCCTGCCCCACCCCCAGCTCTCGACCCCACGCACCCCAGGTGCACCAGGCGGATGTGTCTCTGCATCCCGGAGGCCGTGCTCAGCACCTTCCCACAGCGCTTCCACAGACACTGGAACAGGACCTGCATTGAGCTCTGGGCAACAAGGGCTGGTGGTTAGGCTGGGCCTCCCGTGCCCAGCCCACCCTGAGCATTGCCCCTTCGTGCTTACTTTCCTCTTCCGAGGGGCAGGCTCCCCGAACAGGAACGCTGCCTCGGGGGGCAGAGGGGGCGATGGGGAAGAGGGAGAGGACTGCTCACTGGCTGGGTCCCAGCCCCAGTCCCCGCTGCTGCTGCTGCTGCTGTAGCTGCCTGCCGGCTGCACCAGGGTCTCAGGCCAGGGCTCCAAGCAGGCCTCTGCGGGGACAGGCCAGACCAGTGTCAGAAGCTCAGTGGGCTCAGGCTGCTCTGCACAGGCTACCGGCTGTGAGCCCCTGACTCAGCCTTTGCCTGTTCATCTGTTCACAGGTAAGTTTGGTGGAGACACAGTCTCTTGGAAGAGGTGGTGGCCAGAAGGAGCTGGCTAGGCAGCTTGGGGGCTAACCTCCCTAGAACAGGGAAGGATACGTGGTGAGATGCTGGGCCAGCCAAGTGGAGATGCCTGCAGGCCTGGGGTACTGGGGCTTTGGCCTCAGTGAGAGCATTGGGGGTCCTCAGGTCCATGTGTTTGGAAGGTGGTATTGCCGGGCAGGGGTCTCTGTTTGCACCTCCCCCCTTAAGGTCCTGAAGACACAGTAGCCCTGGGCCCTGCCCCCAGTCCTACCCGATGCCAGGCCTCTAAGTCTCACCTGTGCTGAAGGCTGCAGCTGGGGGCCTCAGCGGGAGGGGGCTGGTGGACAGGCTTGTGAGGGCTGCGGCAGCCATGACCTCATCCAGCCGGGCTTTTGCTCGGGGGACTCTGGAGGAAAAGGGGGTGGGGGGGAGCAGGTGGGGCCCAGCAAGTACTCCAGACCCCTCCCCTGGTCAGACACACACGTGCAGGCCTGGGCACGTGTATGTGCACACCAGGCACTGCAGGCGCTGGGCTGGGCGGCAGGCCCAGCTCCACCCCCAGCTCGGGTTGCAGAGCCCAGATCTCCAGGAACAGGGCCTGGGCTAGGGTCTCCCTGAAGCCTGGTCGTCTGCAGCCTGGGCTGTGTTCCCCGGTGCCCCCTTCAGACCCTGGTGCTGGACAGGGGTCTGAGGCCCCACCAGTGGACCAGGGCACAAGAGGCCCAGCCCTCCCCCAATCACACATTAACTAGGGTTGTGCAACAGCAGCTGTGGGCCTAGGGCCAGGCCTGGGGGGGCGGGAAGAGTTGCAGAGAGCAGCCAACAGTCAGCAGCAGCCAGGGGAAACGGCTCCAAGCACAAGCGGGTCCCCAGGCCCCAGCAGGGCGGGACCAGAGCCTGCCCCTGGCTGAGCTGCCAGCCCAGGGTGTCCGGCACCCAAGAGGGTTTCACAGCAGGGCTGGGGAGATGGCGGTCAGAAGTCCCAGGATCCCTGGGCAGTTGATCTTACGCGGGCCACACAGCCTCTACTGCAGAGACTGACAGCGGCCCCCTCCCAGCTGAGCTCTGGCCCCAGCATTGGAGCGGGACAAGGGATACTATCACACTGATAATTTCTGCTCAACTCAGGGCTGGAGAGCTGGGGGTGGCCAGAAATTCAGGTCGGAACCCTGACCTGCCCGCCAACGAGGACCCCGTGGGGTGTAGGGATGGCACGTGCCCGCGCCCCACCCACCACCCTTGCACACCAGGGCGCACGTGTACGCACGCCCACCTCGGCCTGGCCCGAGGCTCACCTGTGCGCTGGCACCGGGATGTGCGCCGACGGCGTCGGGGGCCCAGCTGCCGCTGCCGCCCCCGCCCACGTCCCGGGGGCCCGTGGCTCTGGCTCCTGCGCAGGAGCGAACTCCGAGCCCGCCAAGCCGCCGCCCACGGCAGGGCCCTGCGGACCGGACGTGCTCAGCGGAGGCAGCGCCCCGGGGACCCCAGCCCCCACCCGAATCCCCTCGTTACCCCCAAACCGGCTGCGGCCGGCGTGCCCCGCCCCCGGCCCCGCCCCTGGCCCCGCGCAGCGGGAAGCGGCACCGGCGGCCTGGCCCCGCGGCTCCGCGGACACACACGGGCCGCCGCCCCGCCCCCGGGAGCCCGAAGTTTGTGCAGCCCCGACGCCATCTTTGCAGCGAGCGCACTCTGGCGCCCGTCCCGGCGCCCGGTACCTGCGGCGGCGCAGGCACCGACACAGGCGCGGCCGCGGGTTCCGGGCCGGCGCCGCGGGGCAGGGGGTGCCCGCAGCTCGGGCCGGGCGCCGGGGGGCGCTCGGCCTCCATGGCCCGCCGGCCAGGCGCCGAGGCTGCAGCGGCGAGGGCGGACGCTCGGGACGCGGCCCCGGGCCGGGCCGGGCTGGCCGGGCCGCCGACCCCCGCCCTGGATCGGCAGCCGCCCGCGCCGCTCTGCCCCGAAGCTGCGGCCGGCCCCGCCCCCGGCGCTCGGCCCCGCCCCCGGCGCGTGCCAATTGGTCTGCATTCTGTATCAACATTCCGCGGTGACCGTGTTCGGGCCCGACCGCGCTCCCATTGGCCTGCGGTCCGAGGCCACGCCCCACCTAGGCCCCGCCCCGGACCCGCTGCTCCCGCGCTGGCCAGGAGAGGGGGCCCCACTCGCGACGCCGCCCGCCCGTCGGCTCCTTGGCCTCGGTGGATGCCCGGCCTGCGCGCCCCGGACACGGCGGAGGGCCGGCTCCCTCTCAGGGTGCCCGCGCGCGGAGCTGCCAGTCGGGGAAGGGCCCACGTCTCTTGGCGGGGTTCCTCAGGACAGGTTATTCTTTAACGCACGACTACCCACCTCCCCCACCCCTTATGTAACCCCTGGGCTGGGTGGCCCGAGCTCTCCCTTGGTGTTCCGGGACCAAGTCCGACCCTAGGGTGGCCACCCTGCCGACCGGCGGCACCCCCTCTAAAGCCAACCTGGCCTGGGGACACCATCCCTAATCTGGTGTCTCTCCCCACACTGTCTTGTGAGCCTGGGTGACAGGACCCAGGCACCACAGGAGAGTGGGACCCTGTCCCTGAGGTAGGGGATGTTTTTACTCCTGGACAGTCCTCCGTCCCAACCTGCCCCGCCAAGGCTTTCAAGAAGAGAAGGCTGCGAGGCGCCCAGTGCTCATCCTCCCCACTACGGGGATTTATTAAGACGCTGGCGGGACAGGCCAGGGCAGCTAGGACCCCAAGACCTCTCAGGCTGCCAGCTGTGTGGGGGGCTATGCGGAAGGGGGTCAGGCCCCTCGCTGGAAGAAGGTACAGCTGTACTTGGGTGCTCAGGGCAGGGTGGGGCTGGAGACCCCTGTGTAGGTGGGGCAGGGGAAGCAGGAGGCTCTCGAGTCCAATCAGCTAGAGCTGGGAGGCTGTCGGCACTCTGCACTGGGGGCCCCACATCTCCTGGATGCTCTCGTACACGTTCTCTGGGGGGCCACTGGGGGTGCTCAGGCCCCTGAGTGGGAGGGCCTCATAGTCCAGGTTCCTCCCTGGAGTCGGAGTCGCTGCCCTGGCCTTGGGGTCTGGCTGGTCTGCGGCAGATCCTGGGTTCCTCCTTTTAGGCTTGTTGACCCTGGAGTACAGGGTGTCCGCCTGGGGAGAGGAAGCCAACCCAGGGAGGAGTCAGCACCATCTACTCCGCCAGGGATCTGCCCAGCCCCACCCATCACACCCCACCCATGCCCCCCACCTCACCTGAGGAGCTGGGGTCCCCTGGGCCTTCCCCTGCTCCAGGCCGTGGGCGCCCCGATCTGTTCCCTTGCGCTTCTGGACACAGGCATACTCTGCCACCACCGGCCTGGCCTCAGGCCCGGGGCTGGCACAGCTGCTAGTCAGCCGTGTCCCTGCCCACACCGCAGGGCTGGCTGCCAGGCTGGCCCTGGGGATGGCAGCCAGACCCACGTTGGAATAGGTGGCCTCAGCGCCCATGGAGGGCTGGACAGCGGTGGTAGCAGGCGAGGTCTGGGGCAGTTCCCGGTGTGAGAAGGCAGCTGGGGGCCTGGTGATGCCTCTGGATACCTCCAGACATTGGGGGCGCAGGAGATCCATGCTGGCAGGCCGCGAGGCTGGGGTGGGGTAGGGGCCCAGGTCAGTGCGGGTGGAGCGACTCGGACCCCAGCGGGTTGGGGGTGTGGTGCAGCAAGCCCCGCCCACAGCTGGGCTCACCTGTGCGGCCCAGCCGACCCCGGTGCAGCTCGTTCAGTCTGGTGTCCGATTTGCTGAGGACGCAGAGGTGGGGTCGTCTCAGCAGTGACTGGGGGCAAGGAAGGGCGGTCGGTCCCCTGCTGGCCCCTCCCTGGCCCCAGGGGCAGCCTGGCACTCACCCCTTCCACTGGCATCACAGAACCCTGCAGCGCGGCCTGCTGTCTCTGTGCCCGCTTCCTGGGGGCAAGAGGGCCGTCAGGCCAGGGAAGCAGAGAAGGGGGTTAGGGTAGGGGCATCAGCCTCTGGTCAAGGAGGACCCTTCTGGAGCCCCACCCCCTCTGGCCACAGCGCTGAGCCAGGCTCCCCGCGAACCAACCGAGCAGGGCTGGACCTACCTGTGGCAGGCTGCGCACAGCACCCACAGCCAGAGGAGCAGGGCGCAGCACCCCAGCACCAAGAGGACAGAAGGGGCTGAGGGCACCGGTGGCCCCATGCTGCGTGGCCCTGGACCAGCCTGAGGGCGGAAGATGGGTGCGGGGGGCTGACTGAAGGACTGGGAACCCACCTGCAGCCCCACTTCTGTGCCTCCCGCTGCCGGGCAGCCTCCCGCCCTTGGGAGCTCTGACTCAGCACACAGGAAACCCCAAGACTCAGCAGCCCCTCCCACCTTCAGAGCCGAGAGCACGCACCCTCAGCGCCCACCTTCCTTTCCCGCCTCTGGCTGGGGCTCCTGATCGAGTGAGAAGTGTGCTCTTCCTGGCCCTCCCGTGCTGGCCGTCAGTGAAGGCGGGCCCAGAACCTGGCCAGTGAGGGCCTGACCAAGGCCCCCTGTGGCCACCGCAGCCCACACCTGAGGCCTGGGAGGCCCTGAGGTCATACCCCTGACCTTTTAAGCCGCAGGCCACAGACTCACCTGCAGCCCTGCTAAGCCCAGGTAAGTCCCCTCCCACCATGCTCCCCCTGTTGTGGGTGTCAGGAAACCCGGGGACCCATCTGGGAGACCAGAGAGAATGCCCCTAGTCATGTACTACAGAGCTGGATCCTCTGAGGGGCTGGAAAAGCAGGGGTCAGCCGGCAGAAAGGGGGTGCTTTGGGCACCGACTGCCCCCCAAGCCTCTCCCTGGCTACCCCCTCCCCCCCGCAAATGGTCGAGTCTTCTTCCTGGAGTCTTAGCAGGGCTACAGGGGATGGGCCCACCCTACCATCAGCACAGCCTTTTAGTCCAGTAGCACAGAGATGGGGGTTGGGGACCAGTCTGCCCACACCCAGGGAGGGGACTTCCCACACGAGGTCCCCATGCCCTGACCTGGTCACAGCCCAAGTCCAGTGCCCTAACCTGGAAGGGCCTAGTCCTCCCCAACCCCAGCCCTCGACTGCCCCCAGCAGGGCGCTCACCAAGGGGCCTGGAGAGAGGGTCAGGAACAGGCACTTACCAAGGCCCCCGATGCAGGATCCCGCCTCAGCCCGTCTGGGGCAGGCCGGCGCCTGGGCACCGAGCAGGGTGCCTTTGTGCAGCCCTCCGTGGCGCTCCCCTCACTTCCTGCCTGTGCGTCAGACAGCGCCTCAACCCTGCAGCAGCTCCCCCCACCGCAACCTCGCCCATCTGCGCCCCCGCCCGGGGTCTAGATGACACTCCGGTGTGCACTCTGAGCCTGCAGGGTCCGGGCCTTTCTCCTGTGGCCTCCACCCACGGGGGAGGGCGCGCACTGGGGGGAGGCAGGCTCCTGGCCCCAACTCTCGGCTCTTGCACCCACCCTGCCGGCCCTCCTGCCCATCACAGCACCCTGCGAGGGCGAGAGGCCAGTCCCTCCCACCGTTTGTGGGTGTCAGGCAACATGGGGATCCATCTGGGAGGCCAGGGAGATGACAGTCCCCGGGGTCCTCTGCCTCCAGCTCACTCAGGACTCAGCCTAGCCCCTCAGCCCCACACAGACACCCCTCCCCCCACGGACAGCACTACAAGGCTTCACAACAAAATCTCTTTAATGTTCTTGAAAAGCCGACACTGGCAGGGGGGGGCTCTGTGGGCACATGAGCATCCGAGGCACGACCCTGTACCCCACCTTCCCCCAGCAGTGTCCGCACACCCCAGGCTGGCAAGAAGGCTGACCATGGGGTCTATCCTGGGGGTGGGCCAGCCCCCTTTTGGGGGCATCGAGTAGCTGGACGGCAGCAGCTAGGAGCCAGCCCGAGTCCCGTCCATGTACGCGCGGGCTCTAGAACTCGGTCATCTTCTTGTGGGTGTCCGCCTTCCTCTGCTCCCGCTGCAGGCCCGCCTCCTGGGCCCGGAGCTGCCCTAGCTGCCGCTGGGCTCCCGCCAGCTTCTCCTGTAGCTGGGCCACGGTCGCACTGTGCCTAGAGAGAGGCCACCACTCAGCTCACCACCCTCGGGCCAGAGTGGAGTCCTACCGTGAACTGGCTGGGCACCCAGAGCAGGGCTTGCTCTGCCTTGAGTTTGGCCCCACACCTACCGGCCAGCGTTGCGGACGAGGGCCTCCTGGATGCCCCGGATGTCCCGCTGGGCCTGCTCTATCTTCTCCTCGGTCTGGAAGAGCCGCAGGCTCAGGGCCCGCTTGGCGCTCTTGCTGGCGTGGTACAGCTCCTTGCCGCTCCTCCTCCCTGGGGGGGCCGCCCCTGCCTCCAGGGTCCCAGGGGCCTGGCCCTGCAGCTTCTCGTTCAGAAAGTCAAACACGCTCCGAGGGGGTGGGCGGCCCCCAGGCCCGCCCCCTCTGCCCCGGCGCCTCGGGGGCCTGCTGGAGCCAGCCTTGCTGCCCTGGGCCCGCTTCTGCAGGATCTCCACACACTGGTCCAGCGACCTGCCTCGCGGCAGCACCACAGCATGGATGGGCTCCACCCGGCCGTCCGCGTGTCGGCCCAGACCTGTGGGCACGGGGCTGGAGCTGCTGCTGGGCTCCCACTCACCCCACCATGTGCTGCGGCAGCCCCCCCCCCGCCCCCCGGGCAGCACCCACTCACTCACCCTTGCCAAACTCATAGCCCATCTTGGCGAGGAGCCTGGAGCCGATGCCCCGAGTGTGCACCTCCCAGCCGGCAAAGGCAGAGCTGCAGGTCCCCTGGCCAGCGGCGCCGGGCTCCACCACTGCAGGGACAGCACAGGGGCCTGGCCCAGCCGCCCTGGAGCACCAGGGCTTTGGCCAGCGGCAGCCCAGGAGCCAGTCCTCTCCACCACCAAGGACACGGGCTCCAGGGACCACCGGTTCTTGAACAGCCCACAGGGATGCCTCCCACCTCATCCTTATCCCGCAGGAGGGCTGGACCCTGCCAGCCAGCCCCTCCGGAAGCTGCCCACCCGTGGCTGGCTGTGCACAGCCCCTTCCATCAGCCAGGCGCCAGGTCCGCAGCAGAGGCCCTGCAGGAGCTGCTCCTCCTGCTCCCCACTCCGCTGGGCCTCCCTGTGCGCCTGCTTCCTTGCAGCTGCGGCATCAGCAGCGGCAGCCCCACCCCACCTCCCCAGCCCACCCTCAGGGTTGCACCTGGGGACAGGTTTGGGACACACAGGCCTTGAGGAAAGGGACGGGTCTTTGCGCCTGCAGGTCTGCGGACCTGCCCAGACCCTTCCACACTCTCTCATCCACCCACCTCCTGTGGGAGCCTCCACACCTCTCCGGCCCAGCCAGTGCCCCCTCCTGTGCACCCCCCATGAGGCACAGCCCACCTCGCTGCTCTCCAACTGTCTGCTTGAATGGTCCAGGCCCCACCAGCCAGGAGCCTCCCAGGGAGACAGCTGCCCAGGATGCCCTTGTCCCCATACCTCTGGCATAGCTGGCGTCATCCACGTCACCGCTGTCCGAGTCAGAGGACACTGAGGACTCTGGGCGCAGGGGGGGCAGGATGCTGTCCCCCTCCAGCACGGCCTCCTTCAGCAGCAGCGAGTCAAACTTGACTGTGTAGTAGCCGCTGTCCACATCTGGAGGCGGGACAGAGACAGGCCAGGTCAGCGGCCTCACAGGCGGCTGCAGAACCAGTGGAAGTTGGGAGCAGGTGGGCCAAGGCCAGGGGCAGTCTTGCTCCTCCTCAGCACGGAGCAGGGACCCAACACCCCACCGAAGGAGTGGTCACAGGGGAGTGACATGTGAGCAGTGGAGGCCCACGGCAGCCTCACCGGTGATCCGTGCTGGGTGCCAGATACCATCCGGCTGCTTGGCCAGACACGCAGAGCCGGCCTGCAGGGAGCTCAGGTCTGGGTCCTGGAAGGGGCGCAGCTCATCCACCGAGACCACCTGCCCGTGGGAGAACCTGCAGAGAGGGCCGCAGGGGCCAGGCTCAGATTTGGCCATCAGGGCAGGTGAGCCCCAGAGAACCAAGTCCACCTGCCTGGGCACTGCCCTCGAGGGGGAGAGACAGGCAGAGACAGACACGCGCACACAAACACGTGCACACCTGCCCACACCCACACACACCCACGCTCTGTCCGCTCCTGCACTCAGGACGGACGGGCCGCACGGAGGGTGCCTCACGCTGCTCCCAGCTCGCTGGCCGACAGCCTTGTGATGGGAGCGCCCGTCGCCTCCGCCAGACGGCGGCGTGTAATCAGGACAGGCGTGTCTGTGCTCACACGGCGGAGCCCTCCCCACACCGACCAGCACAGCCCAGTCAGAGCAGCGGGGCCCTGGCTCTTGGAGATCAGTGAGCCCATGAGATGACAAGTGAAACCCAGAGACGGGGACAGAAGCGACAGGGGTGGCGAGAGAGAGGAAACAGGAGCACTGCAACCTCGACTTTGCCAAATAAAGACACGAACAGGCCAACCACATGTCTGCTGCCGGTGCCGTCACTGCGAGAGGAAACCGTCTGACCGTGGGAGGACCCAGGACTGCATCCAGACAGGGAGCCAACGCTGCGCATGGCTGTCTTCTGAGGCAGGAATTGGTGGTGACCAAAGAGGGGATGGAAGGGGTCTGTCCAGTGGACAGAGATGGCTCAGGGCAGTCCCTTCTCACACCTGGCTGTCCTCAGGCATCCAGGGCACTGCCAGTGGCCAAATGGCACCAGCAGCTGCAGGTGTGGGCCCCAAATGGACATTGGTTGAAAGCCCTGGCCAGGCCCTGGCTGGCTTGGCTCAGCGGTTGGAGCATCAGCCTGGGGGAGAGTCCCGGGTTCAGTTCCTGCTAGGGGCATGTACCAAAAGAAAAAAAAAGTCCTGCCGGTGCAGCTCAGTGCTCAGGGCGACCACCTGTAGACCAAGGGTCGTGGGTTTGATCCCCGGTCCTGTTTGGGGGCGTGTGTAGGAGCAACCGATTGATGTGTCTCTGACATCAATGATTCTCTCTCTCCGCCCCCCACTTCCTCTCTCCCACTCTCAAAAATAAATGGAAAAAAATTTCTTTGGGTGAGGATTAACAAACAAAGAACAGAAAAGCTCCCTCACCAAGGAGCAAAACCACTTGTTCAAAAGGGGAGGATTTAACACAGGTGAAGGTGACCAAATGCTACCTTGGAGACACACACTCACTCACACACACAGGCACACACCCAGACAACACCAGTCTGCAGGAATCATCAGTGATATCAGAAACCTTACAACGTGGGGACTCCTTAACCCTAGAGCAAGCACTTCAAATAAATTATTGCAAAAAAAAAAAAAATAGCAATGAAAGTATGCAAAGATTTAGCCACAGGGATGCCGACCAAACACCAAAGACTTGGAAACAACCTGTTTGCAGCCACAGGAAGTGGTCAACGGCAAATCCATAAAATAAACTGAGCACTGCCCTGGCCGGTTTGGCCCAGTGCTTATAGCGTCGGCCTGCGGTCCAGAGAGACCAGGGTTCGGTTCCCGCTGAGGGCATGTACCTCGGTTGCAGTTTGTCCCCGGCCCTGGTTGGGTCGTGCAGGTGGCAGCCACTCGATGTGTCCCTTTCACGTCGATGTTTCTCTCTCCGCCCCCCCCCCCCACTCTATCTGAACTAAAAATGGAAAAATGTTCTCGGGTGAGGATAATAAATAAATAAATAACTAGAGAACTAAGAAAAGGGGGTAAACTGACCAATGAGATTGAAGGAGCTCCAGGACGAGCCCCAAGCACACAGAAACCTGCACTCTGGACAGGAAGCCTTACAAATGAGTCAGGAAAAGAGCATCTGTGTTTCTTAAGGAAAAAAACCTTAAAATTGGTTTCTCATATTAAAAAGTCCCCACTCAACGACCTGCCTCACAATGTCAGAAACGCACGTCGCAGCAGCAGACACAGGGACCCGAGACCAAGCACTTGGAACATGGAGACTCCGAGTCCAGGCACAGAGGTGACGCAGCCCCGCCAAGGACAAGGCTAACACTGGGCAAAACGGTCCGAACGCACAGCTCCCAAGCTCCGGAGTCCCCTGCAGCAGCCCACACACTGAATGGGTGGGGGTCTGTAGCATCCACCCAGGTCTCCCTGCAAAGCAGCAGATGAGGAGGGTGGATGTGGGGAAGGGATGGAAACCAGGGCCTGTGGCTACAAGTGGTGAAACTGATGGGAATTACCAGAGACTGACACTCTGGCGGTCTGAGCCGGGCTGGAGTGCACTGGGCAGCCAGGTGTTTACCAGACAGACCCTCAAGACGAAAGGGCCCCAGAGGGCTCCACGCTGCACGGACCCCTGGCTGTCTAGTAGCCATGTGCTGGACCCAGAGATGCCAGACAGAATGGAGCGGAGGGGGCGGGGAGACCGGCTGACCTGGAACGAGACCCCAGCTCACACAGGTCACCTGGCCAAGGAAGGGAGCCTCTGGGAGGGAGTGTTGGCCACTGAGCTACACAGACAGAGTGATGCCTACGAAGCCAGACTGAGAGGAAAATTAAGCCTGAAACCGAAGCAGAGATACCAGAGGCTGCGCACTGCGGTGGGGGGACCTCGTAATTCAGGTGCGGAAAACACACTAACATACAGCAAACACTCAGGAAAACAATCCAGAACCCAGACTGGCTACAATACACCATCCGAAATGTCCAGTTTTCAGTATACACTTGGGAGACACACAAACCAATAGGAAAGTGTGACCCACATTTAGGGAAAAAAGCAGATGCTGGAACCTGACTGAGGAGCCGAGACGGTGAACCTAACCAAGACTTCAAGGTAGAGAGTGGAAGTATGTTCAAGGAGTCAGATGAAAGCGTAATCACAAGGATTCAAGAAATGGGGAATCTTAAAAGAGAAGTGGAAATTACATAAAAGGAATCGAATGGAAATTCTGGAGCTGAAGTCTAAGGGAACTGTGAAGGGACCCTCCCCCGCTGCCCGTCCAGCACATAGGAGCTTGGAACTGGAAGTCACCCCTCTGTCCTAACAAAAAGTAAAAGATGGAACAAGCAGAAAAAATCAACAACTCTTCTTAGATCCGTAAGAGAAGCGAGGTCATGGAGCAAACTGCTGCCCCAAATCTGGAAAGTCTGAGAGGCGAATCCAGAGTCACGACCCACCTGCAGCAGCCAGCGCAGGGCCCCGTGCTGGACAGGGATCCGGCGGTGACTGCCGACTGCTGGGGCTCAGCACGGACAAGTCTGGGAGTTAAAACCTACAGGGGGGCCCTTGTCCATGGGGGGGGGGATCCCAACACATTTATGAGTTTCACCAGGTTCTCACAGTAAATACTGGAGAAAAATCCCCTGGTAACTCACGCCATATGACCACTGGTAAAGGTGACTGCAGAGGTAAGTACAGAAAAAAAATATAGTAGCATATTTTTGGTTTGTAACTAATTTTTTTCCTATGCGATTTGAAAGACAAATGCATACGGCAATAACCATAACCTCCAATCCTGGGCGCACAGCGATAAAGGTCAGTCTCACCAGTAACAACCAAGCGACGCAGCAGCACACAGGGACCCGAACTGGAGCAGGGTTTTGACTCCTGTTGACTCTGACTTGCTATCAGTTCAAACTCGATTGTTATAAATTCACGATGTCAATCACAGTCCCCAGAGTGACCAATAAGAAAATAAAGCAAAACTGACAAACTTGAGCTAGACTGACCAAGAAATAAGAGTGCACGCAAGTGACTGACCCAGGAAAGAAGTTGGGGACCGACCCACCTGCAGGAGCACGCAGGGCGGCCAGAGGCTGCTGCGAGCAGTCCCTGCCAGCAGATCGGATGATGCAGACGGAAAGGGCAGATTCCCAAACACACGCAATCTATCAAAATTGACACAAGGAGAAACAGAAAGTCTGAATAGACCTGTAACAAATAAAGTTATTCATCAAAAACTTCCAACAGTGGCCCGGCTGGTGTGGCTCAGTGGGTTGAGCGTCGCCCCATGGACTGAGAGGTCCAGGTTCGATTTCCAGTCCCAGTCAGGGCACGTGCTCGGGTTGAGGGCTCAGTTCCCAGTACGGGGCATGAAGGAGGCAGCCGACCAATGTATGTCTCTCACATTGATGTTTCTCTCTCTCTCTCCCCCTTCCTTTCTCTCTAAAAATAATCAATGAAAACATATTTAAAAAATAAATAAAACAATAAACTTCCAACAATGAGAAGTCCCAGCCCAGATAGCTTCACTGGTAAATTCTATCACACGTTTAAAGAATTAACACCAGTCTTTCTCAAGCTCCTCCAGTAATTTAGAGAACACCTTCGAATTCATGAGACCAGATTACCCTGACACTAAAGCCAAACAGTGACACCACAAGAAAAGGAAACAGACCAACAGTCTTCATTGGGAACAGAGAGACAGAAATATCCTCATAGCAGACCGAACCCAGCAGCATTTTACAGGAATGCACGGGGGTTCCCCATGAAAATCACTGGTGCAACACTGCACATTCACAGGACGCGAGGAGAGAGGACATGATCAAGCCCACTGATGCACAACGGGCCCCTGAAAAAGTCCAGCCCTTCATGATGAAAACCCTCAACAAATTAGGAACAGAAGGAACTTCCCCAACCGGACAAGGCAGGAATGGATGCCCTCCGCCAGCCTCACACACGTGGGCGAAAGGCTGAAAGCCCCCCGCCCCCAAGGGCAGGAGCAAGACAAGAAGGCAGGAAAAAGAAAGAAAAGCCATTCAATGTGGAAAGAAAAAGTAAAATGATCTCTACTTGCCAATGACATGCTTGGATACAGTATACATAGAAAACCCTAAATAACCCATAAAAACCCCAGTAGTGCCTGGGGACCCCATCTACCATTGAGAGCACCTGGGGCTTCTGGGAGGTGTGGCTGATTTGAGTCTGGGGCAGGAAAAGCGTGAACCAGGGAGGGGTGTCATCTCCCCATCAACTACAGAGCCCAGAGGGACAGAGGTGCCAGCTCAAAGAGGCTCCACTTGCCAGAAGTAGGACAATTGGAGCCTCAGTAAGGATCACGATCACAATGGATTAAAACCCATCAAATAGCCCTGGCCAGTTTGGCTCAGCGGTTAGAGCGTCGGCCTGCGGTCCTGAGAGACCCGGGTTCGGTTCCCGCTAAGGGCACGTACTTCAGTTGCAGTTTGTCCCGGCCCTGGATGGTCGTGCAGGTGGCAGCCACTGGATGTGTCCCTTCACGTCGATGTTTCTCTCTCTCTCTCCCTCCCACTCTATCTGTACAAAAAATGGAAAAATGTCCTCGGGTGAGGATAAAAAAAAAAAACCCATCAAATATACCTAAATCCATGGGTCATCACCTTCTCAGGATGAAAGAGAACCCATTCATTACCTTGGATAGTAAGTAAACGAAACAGAAAAACCCAGCATTTTCCCCTTTTCTGTGTGACTGTACCACTTGGCAGGCAAGCCATAGAAGAGGGAGGGCATCTCCGTGTGACATTCCAGCTAAGTGAAGTGAACCCCAGAACGAAAGGATCCCTACACTGCAGTCCCCACTGAACCAACACATGGGGCCCTCAGCATCACTGGCTGCTAATGGCAAAGACAAATCAGGCCTCTTGATACAAGAGCAGCGCCCGGTCTCCGTCAGAGTGTGGTCAGGTCCCTGGACACTGCTGCCAGGTCGCGGAGAACACGGGAGTGTGCTGAACTGCACCCCGGGGTCCGGAGGTAGCTCAAAGGGTCCGGTCCTCCAACAGGGGAACTGTGAGGCCAGGAACGGCAGGCAGGAAGGGTGACAGCCCAGACACAGGGGCCTGGCAGGGAGCAGCCGGAAGCAGAGCACACACACTAGTCTCTCCTGTGTCGGGAGATACACACCGAAGCTGTGAGAGTGACGGTCCCTGGGAGGGGGAGAGCCCTGGGACAGAAGTGGGGGCCAAAGGGTGCTTCACATTACCTACTTCGTTGTTTTTAAAGATCGAAAGCAAAGATGAGAGAATAACTCAGTCCCGTGTGGAGGTAGGTGGTTGTTTGTAGGGAGTCAGCCAGGCCTAAAGCCATGCTGGACAGCAGAGTGGCTCCGGGCAGCCGCAGCCTCAGCCTCAGCGGTCGGAGGGCCACCTCCCCAGGTGGCTGCACAGGTGAGTTAACGTGTGCGGAAGAGACCTTGGACCAGTGCTCGGCGCAGAGGAAACAGCACAAAGGTACAGCCTCTACCCCTCGCCCAGGACACCACACAGGGAGGCTAGGACTCAGGGCACGGGGACCACGGGCTCAGGCCTCTGCTCCTCATCTGTGCCGGTGGCACAGACGTGTCCACCTGAACTTCAGCATGCACGCTACACTCCAATGAGAGGTGCAGAGAATGGCAGGAGGGAGGTTTTGGGGGAGAAGAAATGTGCCAAGGAAGACTTTGGACCCCACAAAAGTCTACCAACAGGATGACCAAACGACTAGAGACGGCCACACTGAACTGTTGTCAGGAAAAGTGAATTACCTACTAGGGGTTTCAGTCAATATTCCTTCCAGAGATAAAGTAAAAAGGAGCAAAAGTAAAGTTTCTGCACTAACAGAAGACAACACTGTGGACACTTGAAAATAAAGGAGGTGCTGTTATTAGATCTGTCAGATGTAGTGATGACAGACTTTTTCATAACATCTTTACCAATCAGGTGAGGGGTGCGTCCTGAACTCTTCATAGGTAGAAACCAGCAGCCCCTAGAATCTGCTGCGCAGAGGTCCAAGATGGAGGAGCGGGGCAGGGAGAGCGCAGAGACATGGGGGGCAGATGGGTGACAAGTGATGACATCAGATAACAACATGCGAGATCATCAGACCACACTCTCCAATTGCGTATGGGGGCAAATTTCCATGCTGAGTGTAAATGTTAAGAGTTTAACTCTGAAGGATAAAACTGGTGTGTGTGTGTGTGTGTGTGGGTGTATGTGTGTGTGAGGGGGGCTCTCTTCAACACAAGCCTCTCCTACTGTCGATTTACCGAGAAAATCCAGGAAGAACCTAAACAAGGACGCTGTCTGAAGGTGCTGCCCTGCCTGCAGCCCCGAGCGCCTCGCAGCCCAGGGGTAGCTTTACCTGCAGTTATCCTGGAAGCGGCACTTGCCCTCCAGGAAGAAGGGACAGGGCTTCAGAGACTTGTGGGTGGGGTAGAGGTAGAGCACGCGCACGCCCGCGGAGCCGTCGTCCGCCTCCTCCGTGCCCACGATCATGGCGTTGTGGTACTCCAGGGTGCCCCAGGCACTGTAGTAGGGGGCGTTCACCTTCCTCCCACTCAGCTCTCCCTCGTCCTCCTCCGAGTCCTCCCCTTCATCCTCCTCGAGCCCAGGCTGGCTGGGCACTGGCCCTGCCTCTCCTTCAGGAACAGTGTCCAGTTCCGCCGTGGGGGCGACGGGCGCCTCCACTGCCTGAGCAACAGCCTCCTGGAGGGCCAGGTACTCGGCGGCGTCCTGCTCCGGGCGCTCTCCGTCCAGGGTGGCCAGCAGCTTGCTCTTCCGGACGGACACCAGGCTGGCCTCGGTGAGCTCGATCAGCTCCTTCAGGTCTCCCTGGAGCTGGCGCAGGTCGGCCAGCTCGGCAGGATCGAGGCCGGCACCCAGGGCCAGCTCCACCTGCTGCAGCTGTGCGCCGTAGGTGCGGAGCGCGCTCTGCAGGCTCTCCTCGTCCATCCTGCGGGGCAGCGGCTGGTGTCCTGGGGCGGCAGGGCGAGTCCTGGGTCCTCAGAGGGCAGCAGGAGCGCAGCTGCAAGGAAAGAAGCCAGGTGAGCCCGGGACGTGCCACCGAACGGCCAGGCCGCCGCTCCGAGGCGGACACGGAGCCCGGGGCCGCACCGAGCCCGCAGGACGGCCTCTCCCCCGTGAGAGGGGCGAGACAGGCTGGGGGCGGTGGTCCGCTCCGAGGGGCCCCGGCTCCCTTCCTGGCCGCCTACCGAGCCCGCCAGGCTTCTCGGCCCCCGCCCCCGCCCCCTGCGCCCGGACCCGCTCAGGACGCTGCCCCCGCCCAGCCTCCCGGCCCGCCGGCCTCCGCCGGACCTGTCACCTGGGGCCGGGTCGCCCAGACCGCGCCCCTCGCCCCGGGCCGGGAACTTCCTCCGCGCAGAGCCGCGGCCGCGCCATAGAGAGCCCGCCAGCCTCACCGGCTAGAGCGGCACGGCGCCCGGCTTCCGCCCTCGCAGCCGACAGGCACTTCCTCCCGGTTGCCGCTGCCGCCGGAAGTGTCTGCCGCGGGGGCCGCCGGGAGGCTTCGCGCGGGGGCCGTCGGGACAGCTCCGACCCTCCCCGGGCGGCCGCCCGCGTCCCATCGGGCGCCGCGCGGGGCAGCGCGGGGTCAGCAGGTCAGGCGCGCGGCGGCTGCGGCCCGGGCGGGCGCAGGTAGGCCGGGGCTGGGTCGCCGCCTCCCAGGCGGGCGGGCGGTGGGCGCTGGGCTTGACTCCCGGGTCAGGGCGGGGTGGGGCCCCGGGGTCTCCTGCCGGCACCGCCACCTGCCCGCCGCACGGCCACTACGCGGCCGACCCGGCACCACACGCACCCCCGCCTCCGAAAAGCGGGGCGTCTCCGTGTGTCGCCTGCGGGGGTCCTGCCGTGCGCCCTGCGCCGCCTGAGGGGCGCGGCCGAGTTGGGAGAAGGCGCGGTGGCCCCGGCTGGCTGGGGGCAGCGAGTCCCTGGCGGCGCCGAGCGGGAGTGAGGCCTCGGGGCGGCCTGCACTGGGCCCGGAGCTGTTGGCGGCGGGGGAGGCATTGCGGGGCGGGGTTGGGGCCGGCAGTGGGCGGGCCCGGGCGGCGGGCGGGGCGGGGCTGTGGGCGGGCCCGGGCTGCGGGCGGGGCGGGGCTGGGGCGGGCCCAGGCGGGCGGGGCGGGGCTGTGGGCGGGCCCAGGCGGCGGGCGGGGCGGGGCTGTGGGCGGGCCCGGGCGGCGGGCGGGGCGGGGCTGGGGGCGGGCCCGGGCGGTGGGCGGGGCTGGCGGGCCCCTGACCCGGGACTCAGCTCGCCGCGCCCGGCAGGATGTACACACTGCTGTCCGGGCTGTACAAGTACGTGTTCCAGAAGGATGAGTACTGCGTCCTGATCCTGGGCCTGGACAATGCTGGGAAGACGGTACGCCTCGCCCTGTCCCTGCCCCGGCCGCCTTTGGTCCTTTCTCCCCGTGCTCAGAGTCCAGTCCCATCCAAAGCCACTGGACAGCCCCCTCCCCCGCCCCCACTGCTTTTAAAGACCCTCTGTTCTCGGAGTAGGCCGAGGAGGGACATGAGGGGAACAGCCTTGAAAACCGCTCTAGCACCCCTCCTGCCTGTGTCTCCGTCTCCCCTCAGACCTTCCTGGAGCAATCAAAAACCCGGTTTAGCAAGAACTACAAGGGCATGAGCCTCTCCAAAATCACCACCACCGTGGGCCTGAACAGTAAGGGGGTCGCGGGGAGCTGTGGGTGTGGGGGCTACCCCTGAGGATGCGCTGATGCTGGTGGCTGCCAGCTCCCCTTGGCCCTGTCTCAGGAGCCCCCAGTGGCATGCAGTCCCCAGGAGAGCCGGGAGACGGTGTGTCACGGACCTGGGCCACGTTCTCACCGGGTTTCTTCTCTCCCCAGTTGGCACTGTGGACGTGGGGAAGGCTCGGCTCATGTTCTGGGACTTAGGGGGCCAGGAGGAGCTGCAGTCTCTGTGGGACAAGGTGAGATGGATGTGATACCACCTGCCTCTCATGCCATTTCCTCCCGGCGGTAGCCTGGTCTGGGCTCCACTGTTCTCAGAAGGCCTCAGAGTTGCCTTTCCTTCCTTCCCATCAGCAGTTTCTGTCACTCTCTGGGTTCCTGAAGCTCCTCCCTACTTCCGTCCTGGTCCCCAGCACCATCTCCTTAGGGTGAGGACTCACTTGATTCCTTTGGGTTAGAGATGCTGTCGCTAATGAACACAGGACAAGATAGAAGGTGGCTCAGAACCAGACATGGCAAAAGCATCCCCAGGCCTGACTCCCCTGGTCCTTTTCTCCATGGTGGTTCAGGACCTGTTCTCTGAGGTGGTGCTTGCCCATCAGGCAAGGATGTCCTCAAGGGTAACAGCAGGTGCCGTCTCCACTGACACGGGGTTTGGCATTTTTGAGACAGTGGTGCCCTCCCCTACATGTCTCCGGCTCCTTCCCTTAGGCAGCTCCCTCCTGACGGACTGGCATGGTGGGCTTGGCACAGTCTTCCCGACACTGCTGTCCCATGGGTTTAGAGCTGAGTGGCAAGGTCCTGATTTCTAGCAGCAGGTACCTGGCTTAATCTCAGCAGCAGGTACCCAGGCACCCCCCCCCCCAAGTGTTTCCACCTGCCTCAACTTCCAGCCAGAGGGTAGCTGCTGCCGTGTGGCCAGAAGGCGCAGCATGTGCGTCGTCCCGAGGCAGAGCCTACCTAGGCCTGCTCGTCTGAGCACCAGACCGCTTGGGGGTGCACACAACTTCCGATTTTCTGTTCTAGGCCCAGGCCTCAGGAGCTCATACCGAGATGGAGATTGGGGTGCAGGGTGTGTGCTGGGTCAGCACCTAGGAACGGAGTGGGAAGGGTGCAGGACTGGATGGGGGCGGCGTCAGCTTGGTGGGGCCCAGTGGGGAAGCACCGGGGGAGAATTGCTCCTCACATTGCGCAGTGGGGGCCAAGCGGGCCAGGACTTCATGCCCCCTGTGGGTCACCATGGTAGGCTGCCCTGGCAGCTGTGACCTGTTAATGTGGTTCTTTGTGGGTCCTGCCAGAGCCAACAAGGGGCTGTCTGCTTGTCACCCTGCCTATCACTGGGCAGCGAAGTCTCAGTGGGTGGCCAGTTTCTGCGTAGGCCACAGCCTACTGTGTACCATTTGTGTTTACACCCATTTTGGGGAATGGCCCCTTTAAGACCCAGGGCCTTTGCTAAGGGAAACCTGGAAGAGGAAAGGGGCAAAGTGCCATCTGGCTTTGTGGCTGGTGTGGTCCCCCCTTCGCCACCACTTCTGTGGTGGTATGGCCTCATCAGGGGTCTGAGCCCTCTTTCTTGGTGGACCTCTGGGTTCCTCAGGTGCTTCCCAGCCCCTCTGTGGGGTCAGTTACCCCCACCAGGGTGGGCTCTCTGCCAAGATACCCAGAAGGCAACCAGGGTTTGTGACTCAGCGGGTCTCCTGCTGGGCTCCTGGTGAGATGGTGCTGCAGTGACCGCAGCCCAACCCTGCTGAGCCCAGAGCTGTGGGGGTGAGTGGCAGAGTCCCTATGGCACTGAACGTGATAAGAAGTGGGTTCATGATCCCTCCCCAGTTCCCAGACTGGGCCATGTCTTCCCACTCATGGCACCTGGTGTGTGGCCACAGGAGGCCTCCAGCCTTTGTTTCTCTAGCCTACACCCGAGGGACTGGTGTGTGCACACCCGAGAGCCAAGCTTGGGCTCTTCCCTGTTTCCAGTGGTTTTGTAGGATCCCCCCACAAGGCCATGGGTGACCCAGCCATTCACTGGGGTCTGGGGTGTGGCGGGTGTTGGGGTGGGACCGGCCCTGTTCATGCTCCACCCAGAAGTGCTGTCGCTGAGGCCATTGCCCTGCCAGAGCCCAGGCACACGCTGGGAGTGCAGCCTCCCGCCACCTTGGGCTACGTGCTGGTGGTCTCGTGGGCTGCAAACCACAGTGTCCGTTTCTGCATGGAGACCTCCTCTGCTGTGGGGCCCTCCAGCTCGTGGTGTCAGCAGCCAGGTGGCCGGTGCCCCCGGAGCAGCTGCAGCCTTCGTGTCATCAGCACAGAGGCCTGTGTGCGGCCGCTCTGCCTGCAGAACCCAGGGCCGCCTCTGTAGCAGTGCAGACAGAGGCTTGTCTTCGATGGCGTGAGGGTCCCACCCAGGAAAGTACCAGAGTGTCCTTCAGCTCGCTGACTGCTGGCTCTTCCTGCCCAGTCACAGAAGAGCCCGGCTGTGCCAGGTGACAGGCAGGAGAGCTGGGGCAGTGGCTGCTGTCTGCTCCGCGGTGTGGATGTTACCAGGCTCTCTTCTGGTTGGTGCAGAAGGCACCCTGGCCAGGCTCGTGGCTGTACCGATGCCCCAGGCCTAGTGGGTCCTCCCTCAGAAGGCCCTGCTCCGCATGTCTCCCCAAGGTGCTGTCTTCCCCTCGCCTTCCGGAACTCCCTGGACACCAGGCTCTTGAAGTGAAGGGCTGGGGGTTCCGTGACCCTTGCTGTCAGCAGGCCCACAACCAGCTGCTCTGGCACTGGTCCAGGCCATAGAGCTCCCAGCTCAGCAACATGGGCCTGGTCCTCGGCCCTGCCGTCCTGCGCAGGGACGGGCTGCTGCATGTATGGCACTGGCCTGGCCCCTCAGCAGCCTGCGGCCCACTGTGCCCACCTCTGGGTCTGCCGTTTGGGAACCAGCTTAGTCTGGACTCCTCCAGTCTCCAAGCCCATCTCCCTTTGGCCACCACCAGGCCCATGGTTGAGGTCTCGCAGGGGCCGATCCTGAAGCAGGGTTTGGGATGCAGCCCTGGGAAGTGGTCAGGGGAGGTGGCCATTCCTGTCCAAGGTCAGCAAGCCTTCCTTGAAGGGGCCTGGGGGGGCGCAGCTCTACTCTGCTCTACCTCCCCACCCCTAGAAAGCTCCCCAGAAGGGTCTTGTGGCGGGGGGGGGGGCTGAATGCTCGTGGCTGAGCCTCTGTCCTTCCTCAGTACTACGCGGAGTGTCATGGTGTCATCTACGTCATCGATTCCACAGACGAGGGAAGACTGCCGGAGTCTAAGCGCGCTTTCGGTGGGTGCAGCCTGGCCAGGGCTGGGGGTGCTCAGGTCCAGTCTGCACAGCCCATGTGTCCGATCGGGGCTGGGACCTGTAGTCAGAGGGCCCTGGCTGTGAGGGAGAGTGTCCCTGCCTGTGGAGCTCAGCAGGAATGTGGGGCTCCTGGGTGTGGCTGGTTGGTCAGGGGGACAGGGTGCTCACTGCCACCGCACCCATTCCAGAGAAGATGGTCACCAGTGAGGCTCTGGACGGTGTCCCCATCCTGGTGTTGGCCAACAAGCAGGATGTTGAGGTGAGCCTGCCGCATTGCTGGGGAACAGGTGCTGTTCCAGGGGCGGGACCCCACTTTGCTCTGGCACCCCAAGCTGTGTCTGAGGTCTTTTCTGGCCCTGCAGTGCACCTTGTCTCCACTAGGGGGCGGCTGTGCCCTGTCCCTCCGTGGCCCAGGAGACCCAGGTGATAGGAGAAAGCTCAGAAAAGACAAGGGACCCAGGGTGGGTGTCTCTGCAGACCCCAACCTGTTCCCAGAAATGGGGGGGCCATCTGGGGACGGAGGGAGAGGCTACTCCCAGGACCGTCAGCCAGCCTCACTCCCTTCGGGGAGCTCTGTACAGGGTGGTGGCCTGTGTCTGCAGCGTCGCTCTGGTCTGTCGGCCCCGCTGTCTGGGCCACTTGCCAAGCAGGGCCTCCCACTGTCCTGAGCCCCCACCTCTAAGCTCATGACCTACCCTTGCAGCTCTAGGGACTGCCCAGGGGGAGGGACAGGCCTGTTCTTACAGCCTACCCCCCACCCCTGCCGCCCCCAGACTTGCCTCTCCATCCCAGACATCAAGACGGCGTTCAGTGACTGCACCTCCAAGATCGGCCGGCGGGACTGCCTGACCCAGGCCTGCTCGGCCCTCACGGGGTGAGTGAGGCCCTCACCCTGCCCCAGGGTCACAGGAGGCCCCGCCTCACACCCTCTGTCTCCACAGCAAAGGGGTGCGCGAGGGCATCGAGTGGATGGTGAAGTGCGTCGTGCGGAACGTGCACCGGCCTCCGCGGCAGAGGGACATCACGTAGGCGCAGCCGGCTCCAGGGTGCCCACAGCTGGCGTCCGAGCCAGAGGAGCCACCAGTCCTGGGGGGGCGGCTTTGCCTCTGGGATTTTCCATTTGCTTTGTTTTTTCTCTAAGACAAACTTCTCTATGTCCTGAAGAGTGTAGGTGCCCAGAGGCTTCTGCCAGGGGAGTGGGGCAGCAGGACCTGCAGCTCCCTCAGGCCAGGCCCTCTCTGGGCCCAGGCTGGTGGTCCTGCAGGTGCCCTTGGAGCCGCTGCCCCGCAGGCCTGCCCGCCTGCCCAGCTTGGGGTAGGGCTTCAGGGCACCCTGGTTGGAAGGGGGGTTTTCCAGAACCACAGCCTCAGCCCCCTCTGATTTTGGAGGTGGGCTGGGAGCTGGTGTCACCTTGAGGGAGACCTAGCCCACATTCCCAAAGGCAAGCAGGGCCTTGGGTTCCGATGTAGCCTCGGGACTGAACAAGGTGCGATCTGACTGGGAAGCCACGTGTCCCGTACCCCCCAGCCCAACCTCGTCGAGGTGGGAAATGCCGGAAGTGGGTGTCCCCCTAAGCACACTGCTGCCCACCTGGGGCAACCACGACTGCCAACTTGGGTACATCAGTGGGGGTGTTGGGAAGACAGCTGGGTCCTCATGCCTGGTTGGTGGTGTGCTGGGCCTGTGCCCAGCTGAGGGTGAGGGATAAGGTTCCCTGCCAGGCCTGTGCCCAACAGCAGAGGCCCTCCATGCAAGGCTGGTCCTGAGGCCCCTCCTCACATGGCCCTGTGGGGCTGGCCACGGGGGTGTGTGGAATAAAGGTGGTCTGAGTGCTCTTGCGTGTCTTCCTCAGGGCTGTGCAGTGGCCATAGCAGAGGGCTCCCAGGCTGGAGCCACGACCCATCAGGCCCAGCTTCCTGCTGTCTGGCCACAGCCAGTGATCACTGCGTTCATGTCCCAGGGAGGTCCCTCCCCAGTGGGGGCCTGAGGAGCTGCTGGGAAAGGGATGAGTCAGGGTGGGGGTGGGGACCCAGTGGCAGGTGAAATGACTCATGGGCTAGGAGTCCAACCCCCACCCCCTGTGGAGCAGAGGAGCCTTCATGTGATCCTGCCGGGAAGGAAGAACTTTCCCAGAAAGCCAGTGGGCACCCCTGGAGGTCTGGCTGCTCCCTCCTGGAAGTCCCCTGCTGGCAGGGGGCCGGCAGGGCTCACGAAGAGGGTGGGGCAGGTGGCAGTCTGCTGGGTCCTCTTCTACAGTGGAGCCCCAGGGCTTGGTGACCCTCCTGGGTGCTGTCCCTCATCGCTGGTCCTGACCCCCCTCCACATTCCCAGCCACAGAGCTCGCTGAGGGTTAGGAGTGAGCCTCAGCCACCACTGCCCGGAGGTCGTTCTCCGGGCACAGGGAGCCTGAGGGCTCAGGAGGCACCCATGCTGCCCCCAGGTGTCCCCACCGCGCTCAGCACTGTCTTCCACAGCCAGTTTTACAAAATGGTTTCATAAAAAGTGAACTTAGTGCTTGGTCAGTACAATAAATAGGGAGGGGGCTCCGTGGGCTGGAGGAAGTGCTTCCGGACCGTGCGCTCCAGCCCCAGCAACCTGGCTGTGTGCAGGGCCTGGAGCAGCCCTGCCATCAGCGCCCCGGGCCGCGCCTCTCGGAGTTCCGTCAGCTGCTGCCGCAGCTGCTGCTGCAAGGACACACGGTCCTGCCAGTCCTCCCACAGCTGTGGGGGGCTCTGGGCCCCCGGGCCCCCCAGGGCCTGCTGCAGCTGCAGGAGCCTCCTGAAGGAGAGGTTCTGGAAAGCCACGAAGTCCACAAGGGCGCGTTCACACTCCTCCGCTCCTGCAGGGGGATCAGGGCTAGGTGGGGGCTGGGCCAAATCCTGGGGTGAGGGCTCCCCAAAGGCACGGAGCCCCTTCCCCCGGGCCCCGCGAGGCCATCTAACAAAGCAGGATATCTTGCGTTAACACCTGAGCACAGGGACCTACTGGGACTCTAAGCCAGGAGGGCGGGGTGGGAGAGGCCAGCCCCAGGGTGTGGGGTGGGGCACTTCCCTGCTCTGGCCTTGGGCAAGCTGTTTAAGCTCTGCCTCAGTTTCCCAAGAGCAGGGGTGGGGAAGAGCATCCCCTGCCTGCCTGCTGGCTGAAGCTCTGCACAGAACACTGGTGCCACTGCCGCTGCCCTGGGCTCCTTGGGGCTCTGGAGACCCTTGACCCTACGAAGCTGGGGGTACTTCCCAGACACCCATTAAAGGTCTCATGGCTCCAGGGCTGCATTCAGGAAGGGAGGGCAGGGCACAGGCTGAGCTCACCACCCCCATGGCCATTCCACCCTCGCCAGGCCCCCTGGCTCACCTGCCCCCTTCCAGTCACCTGGACTCCCTGGCTCTGGTGTGCTGAGTGGGGAGCCCCTGCAGCTGGTGCACATGGCATCATGGAATGGGGTGCCCGGCACGTTGAGGGCCAGGCCCAGGGCCGTGCAGTTGCGATGGGGCTGGCACTGCTCTGAGCTGGAGCTGTTGGCTGAGAAGGTGCCCGGAGGGCATTGCTGGCACTGCGTGTCCTGGGTGGGGGTGCCTGGGGGAGAGATGGGAGGGGAGGGTAAGGGGGAGCTGGGGTGTCCTCGCTCACGGGAGTTCTGGCCCAGCGCCACCCCTGGAGTGCCCAGCACCCACCGAGGGCAACCATGCCATAGCCAGGCGGGCATGGCGAGTGCTCCAGGCAGAAGCCCGCAAGCGCGAAGAAGCCAGGGCGGCAGCGGCAGGCGCGGTTGTGGACCACGGAGCAGGGCTGCGCCTCCTCCTCGTGCTCCCCGCAGATGACGTTGCAGTACCGGCAGCGCTCCAGGTAGTTCCAGAACCGCGTGTAGTGCTGCGGCGGGCACGGGCGGCAGGCTGTGGGGCGGTCCCGGCCGCACGGCTGGTGCACGAAGGTGCCCGGGGGGCACTGGCCACAGGTCAGCCACTCCCGAGTGTCCGCATCCCACCACTGGTAGGTGGGCACGTCCCCTGCCACCCCGCACGGGGCCAGCACCAGCAGCAGGAGCGGCAGTGCCCACGGCAGGGTCAGCGGCGGCCTCGCGGGTGTCTTCATGGTCCTCCTTGGAGCAGGAGCCGCGGGCTCAGCGGAGCAGCCTGTCCCGTCCATCCCACCTGCAGCCACTCCTCAGACCTGCCCCTCCCTGCACCTCCTATATGGGCTGGCCTGGCCACACCCCGGGGAGGGGCTGGAGACCTCCGGGGGGCCAAGCTCTGACCCCGTTTCGGGTAGTGACCCAGTTTGACCCCTGGCCTGGCCTGGCCCGGCCCCCTCCCCCAGCCCAGGGCAGGGGGCTGTCCTCCGAGGGCCCTCCCTTCACCAGGGAGAGCTTGTGACCTAGTGCCGGCCTGCCGGCGGGGCAGAGGGGCGGTCCAGGCTCCTTCCGGCTCAGCTTCAACAATGGAGGCTGAGCCACGGCTGGCACTCAGGGCGCCCTCTTGTGGGTCAGCGTGGAGGGGGCCTAAGCGGAAGCCCCATCCTTCCTTCCCGGCACCTCAAACCCACCTCCAGCCCAGGCCATGTGAACAGCGTACAGTGGTGCCAGCAGCTTTATTAGAATCTCGTTGCCTGACAGAAAGCAGGCCCACAGCCCAGGCACAGGTCCCAAGGGTGTCCCCCTTCCAGGTGCTGGCTCAGCCGTGGAGCCCCCGAGGCTCCACCCACCAGCCAGCAGCCAGGGAAAGTTCTGGGGAAGCACCTTGGAGTCAACCCGACACACCCTCCCCCACCAGCCGTGGCTTCAGGGCTTCTCCCAGGTGGCCCCAGACCCAGCCGCAGTCTCAGGGGTGTCTTTGTGCGAACGGGACTGGCCTCCCTGATGGGTGGGCTCAGCCAAAGGGTCACTGGTGCTGGGCCTGGCCCACCCCCAGCCGACAGGCGGGTATCCAGTCTGTCCAGGGAGGGGTGACCTCGGCTCCGGCTCAGCGGTGACACCACAGGTCCCATGCGCCCTCCGAGAGGCCTGTGGACACACGGAGGTGTGGACACGCTCCCTGAGGTCTGGCAGAGGCCTGGCACTGGTGCGAGGGCAGGAGGGACCCTGGAAGGGGTGGCTTCCTCCGTCCGGCAGCTGGACACACCAGGCCCACTGCCCAACAGCCCTGCAGCACCTCCCAAGAGACCTACCGCACTCAGACTGTCTGTCTGTGGGGGACACGGGGTATCCGGCTGTTGTCGGAGGAAGGAGGTGATCTCGCTCTGGGTACTCCCCGGTCTCTTGGGCTCGGAGGGGCCTGGACACAGAGCAGGAAGTCCGAGGGGCACCTGGCACATTCCTGCTGCCCACACCTTCCAGGCTGAGTGGGGCTCTGGGGCGACGGGGTGGGGCAGGAGTACCAGGCAGGTCTCCTACCTGTGCAGGGCGCCCCAAGGGCAAGCGTGGGAAGCACCTTGCAACTCCCCTCCCGAGGTCCTGGTGGCTCAGCGCCCACGCCTGGGGTGGGCCGGCCGGTAAGGTCTGCGCACGTCTGCCGGAACTGCGGCTTGTGGTGTGGGCGGACAAACATGCTGAACCCTGCAAAGAGCCAGGCTCAGACCCCGCCCCGCCCCCTCACCCCCGCCCCACCCCTCCTCAGGAACTTGCTCTGTAGCAGGGGCAGGTCCTCGGGCCTTGAGGTGGTCAGGGCTGCCACCACGGCGACCACCTTCTCCAGGTCGTCGTCCCGCTTGTAGGTGGTCAGAGCTGCCAGAAGCTGGCTACAGCCAGCAGACCCCAGGGCCCTGCGGGCATCGGCCAGGTAGGCGCTCACAGCCGGTCGGCCCCACTTCTCTGCTTGAGGGGCTCTGCGCCCCTCTTGTGGACAGCTGCTGGTGTCTCCTGTGGGGAGGTGACACAGATGGTGCGGGGGCCCAGGAGCACCTCACCACCACCTCCCTGGCAGGAGACTCCTCCCTGCCCAGATGCTCAGCTCTGGTCCTGGCTCTGGCCAGACGCCCCTTCAGGGACCAGGCACCTTCAGGTGGTGGCCTGGAGGCCAGGTGAGGCTGTCCCTGGTTCAGGTGCTCTCCAGAGTCCAGCTGCCTGGCTGCATCCTGGGACAGGGTCATCTTGGGGACAGGCTCCCTCCTTCCTAAAGAAACATGGAGACACAGGAGTCACCCGCTGGTCCCCAAGGCTCCCGTGTGCGTCCTGAGGAGGAGGCAGATCTGTCCCAGGGGAGGCGGCACACAGCCCTCCTGGGACCCACGGGCACAGCACCATGGACAGCTGATGGTTTGGGGGGGGGGTGCGAGGGCACCCCCGTAGCTCCACACCCAGGGAGGGAGGGGACTCTCAGGCTGGAAAGTCTTCCCAAGCCAGGACCTGTGACACTGGGCAGGCTGTTCAGAAACAGGGACAGGCTCCCTGGCTCTGGAGGCGCACAGCCCACGGGGAGGGACCACAGTGCTCCAGGGCCCGGTGGAGGTAGGACGGCAGAGCTGTGTGCGCCCTGGGGCCCACACCTTCCCCCACACGGTGCCCCGCGGCAGTGACCCATCAGCCCTGTGGGAACAGAGGCCAGGCCAAGCTACGACCCACCCCGGGACCCTGGGTGCTGCCTCTCCTCGGGGTCTGCGAGTGAGGGTCCCACCCAGGAAAAGCCTGCTCACCACCAGGGTCCGGGGCTGGCTGTGCCCGCTGCTCACGCAGGAGGCTGTGCTCGGGCAGGTGGCCGCAGCCTCGGCCTGTCAGCTGGAGGCAGAGCCCCTCGAACTGTGGCCGGTGGTGTGGCCGCACGAACTGGCAGAAGCCTGTGGGAGAGGGCGTCTGGGCACACGCGCAGGCTGCAGCCACCCACCCACTCCGCCGGGGAGCCCCACCCTGTGACTGTGGCACCGCCAGGGCACCTTGGAACAGGCTGTGCTTCGTGGGGTCTTGGGCAAGCAGGGGGACGAGGTGGCCCACGAGGGCCTGGAAGTCGTCCGAGCGCTTGTACTCCTGCAGGGCCTGGGCGAAGCTGGCGAAGCTGGCCTGGCTCAGCGCCTGCTTCACGGCCACCATGAACAGCTTGGCTCTGTCCACCTGCGTGCCTGCTGCTGGCCCCTGCTGCACACAGCAAAGGCCCCATCAGACGTACTGACCCCCATCGTCCCAGGGTGAGGCTGGCAGGGAGGCCACACTCTTGGGAGCAGCACATGGAGAGACCCCCAGGCTGCCCCCACCCCACCCCACCCCCGCTCCCCAAGCTCCCCGAGCCCACAGCAGGGTGCAGCTGCAGCGGACACTCTCAGCGTGGAGGACACTCCTGGCTCCATCGGCAGCTCACAGCGGGGGACACTTCTCAAACTCAGGGACGAAGAGCACCCTGTGCTCCATTTCTGCTGTGTGCCCCAGGCCGACACGGCCCCAGACAGGGAGGCAGGAAAACCAGACAGGAGGGTCCCGGCTTTCCGGTCCTGCCCAGCTTGCCCTCAAAGCACAGGCCCCCGGCACCCAGCATACTTCCTGACAATGCCCGCCCTGGCCCGCCCCGCAGCACTGCCCGGTTCTTCCCAGAAGGAGCCGGACAAAGGCAGTGCTCGGGGCTTTCCAGAGGCTCCTTGGCGGTGGGTGCCCCAGAGCAGGGCCCTGACGCGCCTCGAGCTGTCCTCGGCTTCATGGGCCTCGCGCTCCAGTGAAGTTTCAAACAAGAGGCGGCCGGCCCTGAGGTGGGGCAGTGGTCGGGGCGTCGGCCCGGCACCGAGGGGCTGAGGGGGGTGCACCTGGGCTGCAGGTTCCGTGCAGGAAGCAGCCAATCAATGTTTCTCTCTCCCCCTCCCTCCCTCCCTCCCACTGACTAAAAAATAAAAAATACCAACGGAAGGAATATTCTTGGGTGAGAATTGACAACAAAGAGAGAGATGGACGTGGGACCTCAGCAGGCCAGGCTGCCGCACCGTTGGGCACCGACACCAGCGAAGCCCGGGGCGGGAGGCCCGCTGGGAACCGTGGGGACAAAGAACATCCCAGCCAGACGGAGGTGGGCCCTGCAGGCCGGGCCCACTCACACCTCTGCTTGGCAGGGCCGCCAGCCGTGGACAAGGGCACCTGGAGCCACATCAGGACTGTGGCTCCCAGCACATGCCCAAGTGTGTCTGTGGGCAGCTCGCCTACCTGGCAGCTCACTAGTCTGATCTTCCTCCTCCCTCCTCTCTGCTCCTCCAAGGACCTCTTCTGGCGGGGGAGGGGCGAGCGGCTGTGGCACTGTGCGAGGGCGACAGAGTGGTCCCATGCGTGCCCTCCCCAGCCCACTGCCCCGCCCTCAGGGCTGGCTGGGGGCGGAGCTCGAGGGCAGGCGCAGGCACCCATCCTGCAGTGACGGAGCTGGTGGGATGGAACAGGACAGGGGTGCCGCTCCGCAGGATAAGGGATCCCCAGGCCAGACTGAACATTATGGGCTTCTGGCCGAAAGCTGAAGGGCAGGAGCTGGGTCCCAGCCAGGGATGGCGCAGCAGGAGCCAGCGCCTGAGGGGACCATGCCAGGCACCACCAGCTGGGGGCTAGGCATGTGCTGAAACCAACGCCCTACCCAACCAGGGGACTGACGGTGACGAGACCAGACGGGCAGTCCTTGGGATCTGTGCCATCTCTGGGGCCCTGTGCCCGCACCTCCTCCTCCCTGGGCACGGCCTGGCCCTCAGGCCTCCTGGCCAGCTGCTCGCTCTGCTCCAGGGCGGCCAGCAGCCCCCTGGGCCGTCGCTGGGTGTGAGCCGGCTCCTGCTCATACTCGACACACAGGCTGCCCTCGGCGCCCTCGTCGTCCCCGGAGGCTGGCAGTCCTGTGGGAGCATGGGCAGGGTGGGCAGGTCCCTGTGCAGGCACACCCACAAAGCGCTCTGGTCTCCAGGCCCTGCCTGCCATCCCCGTGGGAGCAGCCCCCGCCACCGCCCGTCACACTCACCTGGGGGCCTCCGCCTCAGGCTGGGGACGTGCAGGTCCAGACTCCTGGCCTCCTGGGCAGAGAGGGGCCCGTGGGGCGCAGCCGCGGCGATGCCTTCTCCTCGACCAGGACTCGGGGCAGTGGCCAGGAGCGCCGGCACCGGCATCTGGATGGTCACAGGGTTGGGGTTGGTGTCCCCACCGCTGCCTCCCTGGGGAGGAGAGGGCACAGCCAGCCGGGCCTTGGGGACTCACTGTTCTCTGAGCAACCCGGAAAAACTGGGCCACGTCTCGAATGACGGGGCCGAAGTGGTCATACACGTGGACGTGGGGGCGCACCCAGGAGGGCAGCTGGGCTCTGGCCTCTGCGCGGGCGAACCTGCGGGGGGGACCGTCAGCGGGACTCTCCTGCCCGCCCGCCTCCCAGGTAGGCCCCGGAGGTGAAGGGCACCTGTGGTCGCAGAGGAAGACGACCCCGTAGTCATGGCGATGCCGGATGACCCTTCCGATGGCCTGGTTCACAGCCCTGGACGCCTGCTGCCGGTACCAGTCCTGCCCAGAGAGGAACTGGGGTGGGGGAGGCTGGTCATGAGGTGTCCAGGCAATGGCCCCACCCGGCAGCCATGCGGCACCTCACCTGGCCCGAGGCCCTGCTCTGGCTCTTCATCTCGTCCAGAAACTGCATCTTGAGGATGACCCGGGGGTCCTTGCGTGGCGGGTACGGGAGACCCGTGACGACCACCCCTCGGCCATTCACATCTGCGAAGTCCAGCCCCTCGCTGGCCTAGGGATAGCACAGTCTCTGCCCGCACTTCATGGCCACACACTCCCGGTGTGGACAGCAGGGTACACGTCTCCCACTGTGGGCCAGGCCCTGGCTGGGGCTCAGGACTCCAGACCCTTTGGCCACTCCTCATGTTCTTGGAACCTCCCCATCCCTCCTGCCCAGCCGGGGTCAGGGGCTGCCACCTGCCTCCTGGAAGTGGGGCCAAGGGAAGGGGCCAGCCTGTCCCACCCGCGGCGCAGCCCCGGGCCAAGTCATGAGTTACGTGGGTGGGGGAGGGTGAGCGTGGACCCAGACCCCGGAACTCACCTTCCCCCGGCACACAGCCAGGAAGGCGGCCCCTCGGGACTCCGGGGAGGCGACACTTGAGTAGTAGGCACCCATCACCTGGAGGAGAGGCAGGTCACCGGAGCCAGGACCTCAGCCCCCCTCCTCGAATGAGACCCCGTGCCTCACCCTGACACTAGGGGCTGTCCCAGCCACCAGGCTGGGGTGACGTTCTACACGCCTAAGGGCCCGGGTTCCCAGGCTGACTCGCACCCAACACCCAGGGCCTGCTCAGTATTTCCCAGAAAACACAGGGTCTGGCACTGGGGAGCCTCTCTTCCCGAGCGTCTGGTGCCCAAACTTCCCAAAAGGCAACATGCAAGGCCAGGAAGGACCTTGGCCACACAGCCTGGCACTGGCCAGAGCCCCTGGAGGGACAGCGCTGGCCCTGGGGCCGTGGGGACAGGACCCCAGCCAGCTCCAACCTCGGAGAAACTGCTCTTGGTCCTCGGCTCCACAAACAGCGGCTTCAGAGCCTCCAGCTTCCTGGCCAAGTCACGGGCCTGCGGGAGGAGGTTGGGATGGGGACACGACTCCTGAGACCTGGCCACTGGGGGCTCCCCTCCTACCCGGGACACATGGAGGGGAACGCACCCGCCAGAACTCCAGGCTCTTCTCCAGCACTGGGTAGGAGGGGAAGAAGACCAGCAGCCCGTGGGGGACCACGCGGGAGATGTTGACTGGAGTGCAGGGCCTCGGTCAGTGGGCGGGGCTTCCAGAGCACCCCCCCCCCCCCCCCCCCGGGCTGCCCCCCACAGGGAGGGAAAGCAGGGGAGGGTGCAGGACTGGGGAGGGTCGTCGGGCGGGCTCCCTGGACACCACGGATGGGGTGGGACCCAGGGTGGGACAGCCAGGCCAGAACTCACCCAGCGCCTTCCCCAGGGAGGACAAGCACTCATCAGAGAACCTGCACGAGGCAGGAGGCTGCTGCCACTCCGGTCCCAGCACTCGGGCCACCTACCCGCCCCCTGGCCAGGCCCCTACCGTTTGTCAAAGGCAGAGCTCAGCTGGGCTCCATCGGGGCCTTTGGGGACAATCCCCACCCAGATCTGGTGCTTGTCGATGACGTGCGGGTTCTCCAAGCAGACTGGGAAAGGGCTGGAGGCGGGTGGGAGGCAGGGGTGCCCCGTGAAGTGCCGAACCCCAGCACAGGGGCGTGACCCCGCCCCACCCGCCCGCCCGCAGCCTCACATCTGCATCTCCAGCGCGAAGGAGGACACGGGGGCCAGCGTGCCACTGGTGAGGATGAGGGTGCGGGCCCCCTGGCGGACCAGCTCGCGCATGCTGCAGCCGGGGCTCAGGCACCAGTAGCTGAGCACCTTCCCTGCGGGAGAGCAGGGTGCAGTCACCCCCAGGGGGGTCCCTCGGCCCCAGGCCCTTTGCAAGGGTGGAGGAGGGGCCTCCTTGGGGCCCGGGGGCAAGAAGCAGACTCAGAGAAACCCCTGGGACAGACACTGGGGTCACCTCCAGAGAGGCCAGCTGACCCAGCCCAGGTGCCAGAGGCTGACAGGTGCCAGGTGCCCAGGCTGACAGGTGACCAGGGCTCCGGATGCTCAGGAAATTGGAACAGAGTTTAAATGACTAAAGTCGAGACTGGGTCACAGGTCAGCGGGGACATTCCCAGAGAACAGCCACTTTCTGGGATCAGAGGAGCCTCCGCTTCCGGGAGGGATCTGCCCTGTGCCGGGGCGGACGGGGCGGACGGGGCGGCTCTGTGCGGATGACAAAGGCCACCGTCGAAATCCACACGCTCAGGGGAGGCCTGCGTGCGGCCCTACACACTCGGAACCGACAGTGGCCACAGGACAGTCTGACTGCGCGGATTCCGGGCCTGCAGCTTCCCTGACTGAGGCCGGTCTTCGCCCCGACAGACCCGTCTGCCACCCTTTTGCAGGGCAGTGACTGGCCTCTGGAATGTCAGCCGGTGCCCCTCCAGAGCCCTCAGGCACCTCCGCCCAGATCAGAGCCACAGACCCGCACGCTCCCTGCCCGACGCCGTCTCCACGGGCTCCGCGCGCCCCTGCGCCCCAACTCTGACGCAGGCGTGAGCTGTGGACGCACCCCTCTCTCCATCCCTCCGGACTCGCTTCCCCACAGGGGCCAGTTTGGCTCAAACATGCTCATAAAAATGTCAGAACAGCCCTGGCTGGTCTGGCTCAGCGGTCAGAGCGTCGGCCTGCGGTCCTGAGAGACCCGGCCGGGTCCAGTTCCCGCTAAGGGCAGGTACCTCGGTTGCGGTTTGTCCCCGGCTCTGGTCAGTCGTGTGGGTGGCAGCCACTCGATGTGTCCCTTTCACGTCGATGTTTCTCTCTCTCTGTTCCTCTCTCTCCCTCCCACTCTGTCTGAACAAAAAATGGAAAAATGGCCTCAGGTGAGGATAAAAAAAAAAAAAAAAGTCAAAACAGGTTTGGACATTTCTCACATCGACACCTGCACAAGCAGAGATGGGGTGACCGAGCAGGAGCATGGGGCCCGGCCCACCCCGCCCCGCCTTTCAGGCCGAGCTGATCCACTTTTCTGCAAACGCCCACCCAGGGATGGTTGCTTCTGAGAACCCACATGCTCTCAGGCACAGGGAACGTGGGCCGTGGCACCCACTCCTGTGGCACCTGGGTAACCTGCGGTGTAAAGCCCAGTGCCCCAGGGGGAGCGGGCAGCGGGGGAGGGAGGTACAGGTGGCCTCCGAGATGGCGGACGCCCGCCGTGTGCGGGGTGAACTGGTCCCTGCACGACCCTCCCTGCTCCACTGCTGGGGTGGCAGGTGAGGATGGGGGGCTGGGGGGCTGGAGCTGGAGAGTGCGGGGCCCAGAGCACAGGGGGCCGCTGGCTGCACTGACCACAGGACTCGCCCTGGACCTGTCGGGCTACAAACCCCAGCCCAGAGCAAGGCCCAAGGGGCGCGGCCAAGACACCTGCAGGACTGGGCCCCACAGGAACACGCGCCTCAGTGGGCCCAGCCACTCCCACCAACAGCCACCGTGAGGCCCTGGCCGGTGTGGTCGGTGGTTAGAGCGAGCGTCAGCCTACAGACCAAAGAGTCACGGGTTCGATTCTGGTCAAGGGCATGTACCTTGGTTGTGGTTGGTCCCCGGCCCTGGTCAGGGTCATGCGGGAGGCAGCCAGTCGATGTGGCCCTCTCACATCGATGTTTCTCCCTCTCCCTGCCCCTCCCTCTCCCTCGCTGTCTGAGGATAAATGGAAGAATGTCCTTGGTGAAGACTAAAAAGAAAAAAGAGCCGCTGTGAGCCAGGTGCTGACCCCGTACCCCTGCAGTCCCCGGTCCAGGACACAGGGCAGCACTGGGGACAGCCTGGGTGTGCCCTGTCAGGGGAACCGCCAGTGGACCCCTTGGGTGTGACCTTGAGGCCTGTGGAGAGCCTGAGCCCACATCTGTCTGCCTAGTCAGACCGTGTGAGAGCCCTGTGCACGGGCAGGCCTGTGACAGCCCCTCTCAGAAACATTCCGCAGGGGTCGGACCGTGTGTGAGCCCCGTGCACGGGCAGGCCTGTGACAGCCCCTCTCAGAAACATTCCGCAGGGGTCGGACCGTGTGTGAGCCCCGTGCACGGGCAGGCCTGTGACAGCCCCTCAGAAACATTCCGCAGGAGTCGGACCGTGTGAGAGCCCCGTGCATGGGCAGACCTGTGACAGCCCCTCTCAGAAACATTCCGCAGGGGTCGGACCGTGTGTGAGCCCCGTGCATGGGCAGACCTGTGACAGCCCCTCTCAGAAACATTCCGCAGGGGTCGGACCGTGTGTGAGCCCCGTGCACGGGCAGGCCTGTGACAGCCCCTCAGAAACATTCCGCAGGAGTCGGACCGTGTGTGAGCCCCGTGCACGGGCAGGCCTGTGACAGCCCCTCTCAGAAACATTCCGCAGGGGTCGGACCGTGTGTGAGCCCTGTGCACGGGCAGGCCTGTGACAGCCCCTCAGAAACATTCCGCAGGGGTCGGACCGTGTGTGAGCCCCGTGCACGGGCAGGCCTGTGACAGCCCCTCAGAAACATTCCGCAGGGGTCGGACCGTGTGTGAGCCCCGTGCACGGGCAGGCCTGTGACAGCCCCTCTCAGAAACATTCCGCAGGGGTCGGACCGTGTGTGAGCCCCGTGCACGGGCAGGCCTGTGACAGCCCCTCTCAGAAACATTCCGCAGGGGTCGGACCGTGTGTGAGCCCCGTGCACGGGCAGGCCTGTGACAGCCCCTCTCAGAAACATTCCGCAGGGGTCGGACCGTGTGTGAGCCCCGTGCACGGGCAGGCCTGTGACAGCCCCTCTCAGAAACATTCCGCAGGGGTTGGACCGTGTGTGAGCCCCGTGCACGGGCAGGCCTGTGACAGCCCCTCAGAAACATTCCGCAGGGGTCGGACCGTGTGTGAGCCCCGTGCACGGGCAGGCCTGTGACAGCCCCTCAGAAACATTCCGCAGGGGTCGGACCGTGTGTGAGCCCCGTGCACGGGCAGGCCTGTGACAGCCCCTCTCAGAAACATTCCGCAGGGGTCGGACCGTGTGTGAGCCCTGTGCACGGGCAGGCCTGTGACAGCCCCTCAGAAACATTCCGCAGGGGTCGGACCGTGTGTGAGCCCTGTGCACGGGCAGGCCTGTGACAGCCCCTCAGAAACATTCCGCAGGAGTCAGACCGTGTGTGAGCCCCGTGCACGGGCAGGCCTGTGACAGCCCCTCAGAAACATTCCGCAGGAGTCAGACCGTGTGTGAGCCCCGTGCACGGGCAGGCCTGTGACAGCCCCTCAGAAACATTCCGCAGGGGTCGGACCGTGTGTGAGCCCCGTGCACGGGCAGGCCTGTGACAGCCCCTCAGAAACATTCCGCAGGGGTCGGACCGTGTGTGAGCCCTGTGCATGGGCAGGCCTGTGACAGCCCCTCAGAAACGTCCTCGCAGCGGGAGACCTGGCTGTGCCCAGCTTCGTGGGCAGCCACCCGGTGACTCAGGGCAATGCATCGGGCTCCCGCCCAGGCCTTTCAGCCCTGACAGCTCTGAGAGGGGCGCAGGGAGGCTGCCCGAAGAGGCTGAGCGCAGCGCCTCGCGGTGGTCGGGTGGGAGTGTGCGCCCAGCGGCTGTACCTGGCCTTCTGGCCGCTGTGGTGCTCCAGGCATCTGACTGCGGGGCTGTCCTCCTGCGGCTCGTGTCGGGGTGTATGTGCACCTAGGGGTGCGGACAGGTGTCCTGAGACCCTCCCCACAGCCCCCCGAGGCAGCCTCACCTTGTAGGACTGAGACCCCTCCCCAAAGTCCCCCGGAGGTGACCCCCACCTTGTAGGACTGAGTCCCCCTCCCCACAGCCCCCCGAGGCGGCCTCACCTTGTAGGACTGAGACCCCTCCCCAAAGTCCCCTGGAGGTGACCCCCACCTTGTAGGACTGAGTCCCCCTCCCCACAGCCCCCCGAGGCAGCCTCACCTTGTAGGACTGAGACCCCTCCCCAAAGTCCCCCGAGGCGGCCTCACCTTGTAGGACTGAGAGGTCCCGAGGCCCCCCGAGGAGCCCTCAGCAGGGTCCGCACTGAACACGACCTGGGGAGACAGGGCAAGGTCGGCAGGACACACCACCACACAGGACAGGCAAAGCTCGGGGTGTCGTTATCACCTGGTCCTGCCTCCGAGCCAGCGGCACCCCTGTCTGAGAGCCAGGACGAGGGCAGGAGCTCACACCTGCCGGTCTCCTCCCTCAGGGACCCGCACAGGGAGTCACGGGAGTTCAGATCACCAGCTTCCAAGTCCAGGGGCGCCCTGCCTGTGGCCTGGTCACTGCTGTCTCCCGTCTCCTCCCTCTGCACTCACACGGCCTCCCCCCAGGTCGGCACCGTCCGCCTGCACGCGGCACGCCCGCTGGCTCCGGGCCCGTCCTGCCTGACGCCCAGCAGGCCCCTGGTGGGCTGTGCGGCGGCGTCCTGTCAGCTGGCCCAGCAGGTGGCTCACTCCCCCGCCACGCCTGCTGCTCTGGAGGGGCTCCTGCAGGCTCCAGCCTGGGTCAGCTGCAGACCCTGCGTCCGGCACAGACCTCCAGCTCCTCCCGGGCTCACCAGCGGCTGCCTTCTGACCGCCCCTGGCACAGCCAGCACCCAGGCTCCAGGGCCAGGCCAGCAACACACCCTGAGACCCTGACCACGCCCTGCGGCCCTGTCCACCGCTGCGGCCTCGTCGCCCCTGCGGCCCTGTCCACCGCTGCGGCCTCGTCGCCCCTGCGGCCCTGTCCACCGCTGCAGCCTCGTCGCCCCTGCGGCCCTGTCCACCGCTGCGGCCTCGTCGCCCCTGCGGCCCTGTCCACCGCTGCGGCCTCGTAGTCCCCTGCGGCCCTGTCCACCGCTGCGGCCCCGTAGTCCCCTGCGGCCCTGTCCACCGCTGCGGCCCCGTCGTCCCTGCGGCCCTGTCCACCGCTGCGGCCTCGTCGCCCCTGCGGCCCTGTCCACCGCTGCGGCCTCGTCGCCCCTGCGGCCCTGTCCACCGCTGCGGCCTCGTAGTCCCCTGCGGCCCTGTCCACCGCTGCGGCCCCATCGTCCCTGCGGCCCTGTCCACCGCTGCGGCCTCGCCCATGCCAGGGGCAGCTTCAGTGACTCTCTCCAGGCAGCAGCCCCGCAACGAGGGGACTGTCGTGCACCAGGGGCTACTCAGAGCAGCAGCCATGGGAAATGCCAAAGCAGTGACCAAGCAGTTCGGGTGCCAGAGTCTGGAGGGGCAGAAACCCGCTCCACTAACGGGCATCGAAGGAGAGAGGTGAGGGGCTCCCCTGTCTGCCCAGGACCAGCCGAGGGTGAGCGGGTGAGCTCACCCAAGTGGAGGAAATGGCTCAGCTGACCGAGGGAAGCATGGGGGGCAGGGAGTGGCTGCGTCCAGAGGCCTTGAGGTGTGACACCCCACCAGGTCTGCAGAGGAGGGCTTCACAGACCCCTGGTGGCTGCCACACCCCAAAGCAGCTTCCAGGGCGCAGGGCAAGGCCAGCCTGGCCTGGGGCTTGGGGACCATGCCCACTGACTGTGCTCGCCAGCCCCACGGCCCACCTGGGGTCACGGGCGCTGCCCAATCACACTGGCCACATATCTGAATGTCTCCCCAGGGTAGCAGGCCCTGTGGCCAGACATGCGGCTGGGGGGACAGAGCCAACCGCCCCACTCTGTGATGGGCTTACACTTGACTTTCCTCTGAGAAGCTGTCTCAGGAAACAACTTGAGAAGGTGTTTGCCCGTGGGCCCCGCCCCGTGGAGCCCTGCTGAAGCTAGCAGCCTGCACCCCGGGCAGGAAGGGCCTGAGGCTGCTGCTCTGAGCCTGGGGTGTGGGGGCCTCGGCTCGGCCCAGAGTGCAGGTGGGTGGCAGGTGCAGAAGGAAGCACCCCACTCCCAGCAGGAGAGGAGCGGCCTGCACCGTCCCCGCTGGCCTACCTGGATGATGTCCGCGAGCTTCTGCAGTCCCGCCGTGTTGGTGAACAGCCCGGGGCCTGTGGGAGCGGCAGGCACTGACCACCCACAGCACCTGCGGCGGAGGCTCCAGCCTCAGGAGCCGCAGGTCACCTGGACATGTGCTAAGCTCTGACTCACCCCAAATTGACAGGGGGTGCCCGGGGGGCGAGGGCTGGCTTGTTCTTTCCTTTGGGTCTCTGGAGATCAGTGGGATGAGATTAAGTAAGCCCCCCCGAGCCCACGGGGACAGAGGCTGGTGGGGCCCACGGCTGACCAGGACACGCTGAGCTGGACCACAGCTCAGTCAGACGCACCGGCCCACCCCAGTCCCGCTCTCGGCAGGAGGCAGCAGGCTGTGACCGAGTCCTGGCTGCGGGGTTTCAGGCAGGCGCAGGGTGGGTGGGGACTCACGTCCTGCCAGGTGCTGGACGATCTGGTCCAGGGAGTCCAAGATGCAGCCCTTGGTCTGAAATGTAATCTGGGCCTCAGCGAACAGCTCGAAGATGTAGCTGTCAGGGAGAGAGGGGTCCGGCTGTGCTGGGAACCCAGTGGCCAACGGCTTTTCAGAAACGAGCTCTGAGCCCTCCAGGGGAGGCACCTGGAGGTGACTGGCCTCTGGCCCGGGGGTGGCAGGTCTGGGGGGCTTGCTTCATCCGGGAGGCACCTGGGCATCTGTGCAGGTCTGAGCGCAGCAGATAAGCAGCCTGTGCTCCAGAACATTCCGGAACAATCCAACCCTGGACAACCTGGGCCAGGGTCCCAGCACAGCTGTCCGCTGTGTGCTGAGGAGGCTACGACCAGCCTCAGCTACGACCTGGTGTCTGCACAGGAAGTGGACCCACTGCCCCAGCTGCTAAGCCTGGAGGTCTGGGGACTGTTCAGAACATTCTGGGCCCTCTGGAAGCCTAGAGAGGCGGCTGTCGTGACCACCTCCACACAGCAGAAGTGAGCGCCCGCAGGTGTCTGAGCCCAGGGAGGACACAGAGCAGACGGGAGACCAGTGTATCTCGGGGTGAGTCGGCAGCCCCTCCTGGGCCTCCAGACCTGGGACGGGTCTCACTGGTGTGTGAGCCAGCAGCAGCCACTGGGCGGCCAGAACAGAGCCCACACATCGCTGTCTCCAGCTCCAGGTGGAGCCTGGGTCAAGGGGTCAGCCCCCAGCTCTCACCTCCCCGGCTTGGTGACACCTCTGTCCTCTCCGGGAAGCTGCACGGCATCGATGGCCCCCTCCAGGCGAAGCAGGATCACTGCGGGGCACAGTGGTCAGAGGCAGCCCCAGCCCAGCAGGTGGGGGGGGTGTGGGGGGGTGTGGACGGCACTTACTCTTCAGCTTCGCAATGTCCTCCAGCTCCATGTGCAGCCCTGAGGGAGAGAACAGCAAACCCACACGTGTGCACCCCCTGCGCAAACCCGCACGTGTGCACCCCTGCACAAACCCACACGTGTGCACCCCCTGCGCAAACCCGCACGTGTGCACCCCCTGCGCAAACCCGCACGTGTGCACCCCCTGCGCAAACCCGCACGTGTGCACCCCTGCATGGCGTGTGGAGAGAGCCCACGGGGAGAGGGGCTGTCCGTGAAGTTGGAGCCACGTTCATGGTGCCTCGCCCGGGACCACGGCCAGCCCGCAGCGGCAAGCGTCCAGTGCCCGTGGGGGCCTGGAGATGCCCTCTCCCGCGGAGGGCACCAGGGCCTCCAGGAGGCCTGGCAGATTCCAGGCTGGTACAGGAAACCCACAGATGAGGGTGGGGTGTGGTGACCCCACAAAGACCAGGGGGCCAAAGGGCTGGAGGTGCCGTGTGACCACAGCGGGAGACAGGACACCCGAGTTCAATGATGGCAAACCGCCATCCGCGACTCCACACACGTGTCCACGGGACAGCAGAAACCACTTTCCTCCTGCTGACACGGGACCAGCAATACATTGGAAACAAGTTCTAACGTCCAAACTTGAAAATTGGCAAAACAAAGGGGAAGAAGTCAAGCACTTGTTCTCTCCCCACACAGCCGGACTGGAGGATCTGGGCGCCGAGCAGCCAGACGGCGCCTCCCGTCCGCCCTCAGCCCAGCGCCGCGCAGCCAGAACCAGTGTGGAGCTCGCCCGGCCTCCAGACGCTGTCCAGTGGCCACTGCATCCCGTGTCCGCCAGGGACGTGGGGGTCTGACGGCCCCACCGGCACAGAGCCCGTCACCGTCGGGTTCCCATCACGGCAGTCCCGCCAGGTGCAAAGTCACGCCTCTCTGACGGGGACTGATGTGTTCTTCCGTAAGAGGAAGTTCATTCACAAAGTTACAGACAGAAGTGAGCCAGCTGAGCTGCATGGGCTCAGGAAACAAGTTACAGACGCAAAAGAAGGGTCTGGAGCTCGGGAGGCAGAGCTATGACGGGGAGGGGCGGAGGCGCAGGTGCCACCAGGGAAGCGCCCCGCACGTTTTCATGCTGCCTCGGGACAGCTCTTTGAAGAAGAGTCTGGTGCCTCTTGCGGGATTTTAACCAGGCTGTGTCTCACTGGAGCTGCCAGAGTTCCTGGTACAGTTTAGATACAAGCCCGTCAGACGTCTGACTTGCACAATCCCCCCTGTGGGCTGTCTCGTTGCTTCCTGGCTCGAGTCCTGAATCACAGTTCTGGGTTTTGATGAAGTCCAATGTACCTGTTGTCTCTTCTGGTGACTCTGCCACGGTGTCATTTCCAGGGAAAGCCAGGGGAGGCTCGTGGGGAGGACACGGCGCGGGCCACGCCTCGGTGCCCGGGCGCCCTCCTCAGGGAGTCGGCTGAGCTGCAGGGAGAAGGGAGTGGCCGCAGGGAACCTGACCGAGGAGGCCTCAGCGGCCCCAAGTCCGGTGAGCATGTGGACACTGTAGGACGGGACGAGGGCTCCTGACACCTGTGCTCTTCCTCCCCGACCCCATGACCCAGCAAACCTTTGAGAAAACAGACACATCCCCACTAAGAGACGTGCTACGGAACCCTAACCAGACCGTCAAGGCCAAGAGCAGGGAGCCGGGGAGCCCCTGTGCACAGAGCAGGGACACCGGCGAGAGCCCAGGACAGCCCCTCACACCCGTCGGATGGCCAGGGAAAGAAAGGCCCTCACACTGCTGAGAAGACACAGCCTCACTCCTGAGAAGAGCGGAGCGGAATCACAGAGCCACGTCCCGTCCGCGAACTGGCCGGGATGAAAAGCCCGACGTCACACTGTTTCGAGGTCTGGGCACAGGCCTTCCCGCCGATTGCTGCTGGGGGCACAGACAGGCTCCCCTGCTCACCCAGCCGCCCCACTTCTGGGAATTCACCGAGGAACGTCCTCAAACAAGATGAAAGTGCGTGTGTGCGGTTACTCATTACAGCACTGTTTGTCCTTGCGAAGTACGGGAAGCAGCCTCAACGCCGTGGAGACGGGCAGACGCAGGAGGTCCGCGGGAGGCAGTCGGTCACTGGAGCGAGAACGGGACATCTGTAGGGCGGTGTCCACGGGACACATCAGAGTAAACACGGCAAAGTGCAAACATGTGTGCAAAGTGCAGGAACGAGAGGGGGTGAAAAAGAGGAGAGCAAGGGAAAGGTTTCCGTGAAGGCAAAGGAGGAATAAACCAAACGAACACGACGCCTCTTCATTCTGATTCCTGGAACCATGCGAATGTTTCCAATACTCAGAAGAAAGAGGAAAAAATAATAAAATCAACACGAATGGAGAACACAGAAAATGGAAATGGAACAGAAACGCATCGTGTAAACAACACCATGACCCAGGGAAGCCCCCAAGCACCGCACTCTGGGTGCAGGGTCGATGCCCAGCCACTGAGCCACACCGGCGGGACGGAGGGCACCCCAACCCCTCCCAGCTTCACGACAGGAAGGACGAGTCCGTGAGCAGCTCTGGGTGGACGCTCACTTCTGACAGGTGGTGTCCGATCGGAAACCCACTGTCCGGGTGTTTGGGGCCCAAACAGGGAGCACATGTGGAGGAACACGGACGAGGTCTTCTCCCGTCGGAGGAGGGTTCCACCGGGGGAAGGAAGCAGCGGAAAAGCAGCTCCCGGGACCAGAGCAGCAGCGGGCATGACCGCACACAGGCAGGGCTGTGCCGCGAGCACCCAGGCGCAGGGCGTGGGCTGCTGCACATAAGCAGAAACTTCCCTGCGGAGGAGCCCGGAGAGGGGCCGGTGGGGCCGTGCAAGCATCACAGTGGTCACGGACTCGGAGAGCCACCAACAGAGGCTGCAAATTGCTGAAGTGTGACAAATGGAGACAGAGTCACCTTACAGCAGCCAACCCAGTGACGAGTCAGTGTCACCAACAAGGGGACAATGCTGGGCCTTGCGACCCGAGGGCCGACTCCTGTCCCAGAGGCACAGCCGCATCAGACCGTGAGGGCAGTGCAGACATGCCCAGGCTGCAGGGCCTCCCGTCTCGGCCGCCTTTCTCTCCACAGGGCCAGACGGCAGCCCAGAGCCACAGAGGTCCCGCCTCCTGGTGCCCTGGGCGGTGATGGCAGCTGGAAACCCTGCTGGGGCCTGTGGACTAGACCAGACGGCTGTGTCTGCCCTGGTCTCCAAGTAGGTCCTGCACTTGCCACAGGAGAGTCCCCTGCCCTCAGGACCCACACCTGCACAGAGCAGAGCCCCCTGCCCTCAGGACCCACACCTGCACAGAGCAGAGCCCCCTGCCCTCAGGACCCACATCTGCACAGAGCAGACCCCCTGCCCTCAGGACCCACACCCGCACAGAGCAGAGCCCCCTGCCCTCAGGACCCACATCTGCACAGAGCAGAGCCCCTGCCCTCAGGACCCACATCTGCACAGAGCAGAGCCCCTGCCCTCAGGACCCACATCTGCACAGAGCAGAGCCCCTGCCCTCAGGACCCACATCTGCACAGAGCAGAGCCCCTGCCCTCAGGACCCACATCTGCACAGAGCAGAGCCCCCTGCCCTCAGGACCCACACCCGCACAGAGCAGACCCCCTGCCCTCAGGACCCACATCTGCACAGAGCAGAGCCCCCTGCCCTCAGGACCCACATCCGCACAGAGCAGAGCCCCCTGCCCTCAGGACCCACACCTGCACAGAGCAGAGCCCCCTGCCCTCAGGACCCACACCCGCACAGAGCAGACCCCCTGCCCTCAGGACCCACACGTGCACAGAGCAGAGCCCCCTGCCCTCAGGACCCACACCCGCACAGAGCAGAGCCCCCTGCCCTCAGGACCCACACCCGCACAGAGCAGAGCCCCCTGCCCTCAGGACCCACATCTGCACAGAGCAGAGCCCCCTGCCCTCAGGACCCACATCTGCACAGAGCAGAGCCCCTGCCCTCAGGACCCACATCTGCACAGAGCAGAGCCCCTGCCCTCAGGACCCACATCTGCACAGAGCAGACCCCCTGCCCTCAGGACCCACACCCGCACAGAGCAGAGCCCCCTGCCCTCAGGACCCACATCTGCACAGAGCAGAGCCCCTGCCCTCAGGACCCACACCCGCACAGAGCAGAGCCCCCTGCCCTCAGGACCCACACCCGCACAGAGCAGAGCCCCCTGCCCTCAGGACCCACATCTGCACAGAGCAGAGCCCCTGCCCTCAGGACCCACATCTGCACAGAGCAGAGCCCCTGCCCTCAGGACCCACATCTGCACAGAGCAGAGCCCCCTGCCCTCAGGACCCACACCTGCACAGAGCAGAGCCCCCTGCCCTCAGGACCCACATCTGCACAGAGCAGAGCCCCCTGCCCTCAGGACCCACATCTGCACAGAGCAGACCCCCTGCCCTCAGGACCCACACCCGCACAGAGCAGACCCCCTGCCCTCAGGACCCACACCCGCACAGAGCAGAGCCCCCTGCCCTCAGGACCCACATCTGCACAGAGCAGACCCCCTGCCCTCAGGACCCACACCCGCACAGAGCAGAGCCCCCTGCCCTCAGGACCCACACCCGCACAGAGCAGAGCCCCCTGCCCTCAGGACCCACACCCGCACAGAGCAGAGCCCCCTGCCCTCAGGACCCACACCCGCACAGAGCAGAGCCCCCTGCCCTCAGGACCCACATCTGCACAGAGCAGACCCCCCTGCCCTCAGGACCCACATCTGCACAGAGCAGAGCCCCCTGCCCTCAGGACCCACACCTGCACAGAGCAGAGCCCCCTGCCCTCAGGACCCACACCCGCACAGAGCAGAGCCCCTGCCCTCAGGACCCACACCCACACAGAGCAGAGCCCCTGCCCTCAGGACCCACACCCGCACAGAGCAGAGCCCCCTGCCCTCAGGACCCACACCCGCACAGAGCAGAGCCCCCTGCCCTCAGGACCCACACCTGCACAGAGCAGAGCCCCCTGGCCTCAGGACCCACACCTGCACAGAGCAGAGCCCCCTGCCCTCAGGACCCACACCTGCACAGAGCAGAGCCCCCTGCCCTCAGGACCCACACCCGCACAGAGCAGAGCCCCCTGCCCTCAGGACCCACATCTGCACAGAGCAGACCCCCTGCCCTCAGGACCCACATCTGCACAGAGCAGACCCCCTGCCCTCAGGACCCACACCCGCACAGAGCAGACCCCCTGCCCTCAGGACCCACACCCGCACAGAGCAGAGCCCCCTGCAGGAGGCAGCCCATCAATACTCTCTCTCATTGATGTTTCTATCTCTCTCTCCCTCTCCCTTCCTCTCTCTAATATCAATGAAGAACAAAAGTTAAAAATACATAAAAATACAAATTATATGAAACCAAAGCACACATTTCAGAACAAGACAGAAGGCTGGAAAGCACATACGTCCGGTTCTAGAGCTCGGAGATGACGTGACTGAGCCATGTGGAACGAGAAGGGCGCAGTCACATTGGTGGGGAGCTTCTAAACTCGGACGGAGGGGACGCGTCTCCCTGAAGCAGAACACAGGACACGTCCCAAAACCACAGCTCTGGGAAGCGTGTCGTGTACGGGACACTGATCCAGGAAAATCCACACGGAGACATAATCGCTGGGCGTTACAGAGAAAAAAATCCTAAAAGAACCCATGACTTCTGAAATAAAATACATTGTATAAATAACCAGGTTGAGCCCGGGCCAGTCTGGACCCAAGGGCTGTGGGTTTGATTCCTGGTCAAGGGCACGTACCTGGGTTGCAGGTTCAAACCCCGGCCCTGGTTGAGGTTGTGCAGGAGGCCACCAATGCACATGTCTCTCTTGCATCGACATTTCCTTCTCTCTCCATCCCTCCCTTCTACTCTCTGTAAAAATCAATGGAAAGAACCCTCGGGTGAGGAGCAACAACAGACAGGCTGAGACAGGCGCGCGCGCCCGCCGGCCCAGGGGGCCTGCCTGGGCCAGGCCTGGGGAGATGCCCTTCCTCGGACCTGTGTCCAGAAGTTGCAGGCGGGCGGCTTAGAAATTCCAGCCACAGAGAAACAGGTAGCTGGCGGGTCACCAGGCCATTCAAGACACCGAGAGCCAGACCTGCCCTTGTGACATCGCCGCCAGCTGACAAGTCCCAGCACTGCTGCCCTCCACAGACAGCGCGCGTCAAGGCCACGTGAGGGAGGCCGATGGCGGCCCCAGCAGGTCCACACCCCAGGCCCTGAACCCCACGAGCACGTCACCTTCTGCGGCAAAAGGGACTTGGCAGGTGTGATGGCGGCAAGGACCTTGAGATGGCAGACGGCGCTGGGTCATCTGGGTGGGGGGCAGGGACCAGGGGGCAGAGGTCAGAGGGATGCGGGGCCAGGGCCAAGGGTACAGCACCTCGGGGGGCCCGGAGGAAGGCACCCTGCCGACCTACTGTGGAGCATCAGGCCGGGCTGCTCTAAGCCACCGAGTCTGTGGCGAATGCCCAGCGGGAACCGCGACGGGGATGCGTCAGATCGAAAGCACCACGTGCGGGATCCAGCTCCTTCTGTCGCGCCACATCTTCGAGAGCAAAACCGCCCGCAAGGCTGCTCCTCTGACTTAAGGGTTACTTTCCAAGAAAACGTTATTTGTGTACACAGGTTTCAAGTCTTCCAGAAGGACACGGGGTCAGGACCTGATCTGTAAACAGGTCTCTGCAGATGTGGTCGGGTTAAGACGAGGTCACGGTGCACTGGGGTGGCCCCTCCAGCGGCTGGCGTCCTGTAAGAGGACCGTGGACACACACAGACCGTGTGAAGAGCAGAGCAGGTGGCGCGCCTACAGGCCGAGGGCGCCGGCGGCTGGCAGGGGGCCTGGAGCACAGCTCTCGGCAGGGACTCCTGGCGCCGCGGCTGCTGTGGACACTTCCGCGGTCCGGCCTCTGGGATGTGGTCCTTTGTCAGGCAGCCGGGGCTCACTGCGAGGATGTCAGTAAATCCGAAACGTTTCCGTTTTCATCGCTCACACAGCATCCACGGCTGTCACTCACACAGACCACGGTCTGTCGTTTGTTTTACTTCGTTCTGTTAATCCTCACATGAGGACATTTTTTCTCTTGGGTCCTGAAGCCAAAATGTTTGAGGACTTCTGGACTAAACAAACAAATGCTATTTGCAAACACAATGTCTTCCAATGCAGGTGTGTCGTGGGTCGGGGAGGCCCAGGGACCACGCCAGGACAGGAGTCAGCATGGGCGAGGGAGCCCCGGGGCCCACCCCTGCAGAGCCTGTTCACGCTTGTGATCAGAGGGACAAGGACACTGAGGCTGTCCATGCTGTGCCCGTGCACAGGTGAGGACACAGAACCTGGATGTGTTCACAGCACAAAGCATGAACGCTAGAAAGCCTGCAGCAACTGCTGGAACATTGCCACAAAGTGGTCTGGCCAGGCTAATGTGGAGTCCTCGCCAGCCACTGACAAAGGCCACGGAGGACATGCGGACAGACCACTGTGTCCGTCAAAGGTGTCCCCGTACGCCGTGACTGCTGTGCCCGAAGAACACAGGACAAACCTCCGAGAGCAGGTGCCGCGTGGACCGTGCTCACAGGTCATTAAAATGTTCCCACGGTTAATACATGTTTTCACGTTTACGGAGCAGAGGGAAGAACGTAGGCTGGGAAACAAAAGGTCTTCAGAAAAGGCCAGCATGGTCAGGCCCAGGGCAGACGGCCGGGCAGTCTCCTCACAAGCTCACCTGAGGTGGAGTCTGCGCCGAACTCCAGGTGGAACTCGCCCCGCTGCGCTGCCTTGGTCTGCTCCTCCAAGACCTGGTCTATGACGTCCAGTCCGGAAGCCACATCGTGGGGGGTCAGGTCAAAGGACGCCGACTCCTCGCACATCCTCTCCTGAGAGCCCAAACACGGCATTACGGTGAGCAGGAGCCCGGGCTGGGGGCTCTGGGAGGCAGCGCTTGGGGGCACAGAGCTGAAGGGAGGGGAGAACCCAGCCCCATCCCACAGGCTCTGACACTGGGTCACAAACGTCCCAAGACAGCAGCCTGGCCCATGTTGGAAACCATCTCACTTAAGTAGCAACAGTTCATAATTGGAAAATTTCCCATTAAAATCTAGATTTCTAGCCTGGCCGGTGTGGCTCAGTGGCTGAACGTCAACCCAGGCACCAAGGGGTCGCAGGTTCGATTCCCAGTCAGGGCACATGCCCAGGATGTGGGCCCGATCCCAAGTAGGAGCATGCAGGAGGCGGCCAATCGATGTTCTCGCATTGATGTTTCTCTCTCTCAAATCGAAAAGGAAAAAAAACAATCTAGCTTGCTGGCTGCTCTCACAGTCGGACCTGGCCCACAGGCCACACTGCTGGGACCAAGTGCGGGCTGAGGGTGGCTGCCGCAGACTCATGTCGCCAAGCCCTCGCGGAGCCAGTGCAGGGGGGGGGGGGCTGTGGGGACAGAAAGGGCTGTGGGGACAGAAAGGTCTGCAGGGCCCGCAGGGATGGGGGGGCGGGGCAGGCAGCCAGCACTCACCACGTTGTGAGCTTCGTCAAAGATCACGACTGCCCCCTTCAGGTCAATGCTGTGCGCTCGGCGACTCTGCAGCCAGGAGAGGAGGAGCTGGAGAGGAGGGGCAGGCCCAGGAGGCACAGCCAACCCCACCCAATGAGCTGGACGTCAGGTGTCCGCCCTAGACATGCAGCATGAGGGAGCAGGCAGGGACCCTCGCCACGCACACTACCTCAGCCTCAGCCACACCCGCACCTGGTGCACTGGGGGCTGTTTAAACCCCCGAGTGTGAGAGGGGTCAGCTGGGGTGGGCTCTGGCGTCTGTACTCTTTACCTTAATCTTCAGTTTAATTCTCACAAAATAAAGTGCCACTTTCACAGTCTTTTTTTTTTTTTTTTTTGGTACATGCCCCTAGCAGGAACCGAACCCGAGACTCTCTGGTCCACAGGCCAACGCTCCAACCGCTGAGCCAAACCGGCCAGGGCTAAAGTGCCACTTTCAGAGTGCTGTTTCGGGAAGCGGGAGCACAGAGCAGGAGACAACCCCGCAGAGCGGCCCCACCTGCTTCCTGGAGCTGCAGGCTCCTGTGTGGGCCTGTTCTCCCAGCCGCGTGTGGCTGCAGGGAGCCCTGGTCACCCCTCTGACCGCTCCAGCCGTTCTGGGACGTCAGCTGCTGGTGCACAGGGTGGCCCCTGGCTTTGGTGAAAGTTCACGTTCTGGGAACGGCTGAGCCCTGGACGCGGCAGGCTCCTCCAGCGTCTCCAAGGCAGCGTGATGCTTCCCACGGCAGCAACACTGAGCCGCGTCCTCACCAACTCCAAGTATTTTCGGTGTTTTGAATTTCGGCCATTTTGGTGGGAATGCAGGGCCAGCCCCTGAGGTTCTGTCCGCGTCTCTTGAACCTGCCCGCCACCCCGCTTCCGCACAGTCTGTGGGGGCTTTCCCATGGCTGGTGGGCTCCTTGCTGAGTTACGAGAGCGGCACATATTTTGGGCACAGCCCTTCGACACATACACCGGGAGCACCTTCTCCCTGTCTGTGACTCACCTTTCAGTTTCCTTCATTTCCCTAACTCTAAAACAGAGGGCACAGCGTCCCCGAGGCCGAGCGCGACGACACTCCCGGGCCAAAGCTGAGCTGCCGGACGAGGGCAGGTGCGGCCTAGATGCGGCCCTTTGGCCTCTCCACAGCCCCGGCCGCCTGTCCACTCTGACTGGCCACAGGGAGCCCTGAGCAGTGAGGGACGCCAGGTCCTCCCACATCTGCTGCTGTGAGTGAGTCTGTGACCCCAGGGCCCGCGAGAGCCCAAGGGCACCCTGGGGACAGGACTTGTCCCAGCGGCTGAGGCCTCACCTTGGCATCCAGCAAGTAGTTGTACGGCATGAAGATGATGTCGGCCTGTAGCTTCAGGGTGCGGGACAAGTAGTACGGGCACAGCCTGGGGCACGAGGGAGGGTATGAGCCTCGGGTGGGCCAAGGCGAAGCAGGCGTCCAGGACAGACAACAGTAACCCTGGGCCCGGCTGGATGCTGCACCCTCTGACGGGCATGGCAGGGGTTCGGGAGGAGAGGGGAACGTGTTGAATCCTGGGAGTAGACCACCTATTTAACAATCTACAAAAGCTAGCCCAGCCCGTGTGGCTCAGTGGCTGAGCTGTCCCCTAGACTGAGGGGTCCTGTTCGACTCCCGGGCAGGGAGCATGTCCAGGTTGCAGGCTCGATCCCCAGTAGGGGGCGTGCAAGACGCAGCCCATCGATGTTTCTCTCTCACATGGATGTTTCTCTCTCTCCCTTCCTCTCTCTAAAAAAGTCAATAAAAACATATTTTAAAAATAAAAATCTACAAAAACAAGAAGACCCCAACCGCATTCTGGTCCATCAGTGAAGCAGCAGAAACAACAGCCCCGTCTCGCCACGACCAGGTGCCCTGAGCCGAGAAGCTGCCGCAGACGCCAGGGAGGCGGCCGGCGAGCGGTCACTCGGCACAGCGCCGCTGCCCCTGGAAACCGGGCGAGGAGCGGGTGGTGGGGCTGCACCCACAGTGGTCGCCAGCAGGTGGCCGAGTGCAGGGGAGGAGGGTGAGCCCCTTACTCTCTGTTCCTCAGACCTGCTCGCGTTTCTCAAACTGAACAACTGAGTTTCACGATTACAAAATGGAGACGGAAAAGGGGGAAACACGTGTCCTGCGGGGTGGGAGGCCCCGTCGGGCAGGATGGCGGTGCGGCCTCGAGGGAGGGCTCACTTGTGCTTAGTCCCACTCCTGACCAGGTCCTCGATGTCCAGGATGGGGGTGGCCAGGTCCTGCTCCAGGCTCTTCTCTGGGGATACAGGCAGAAGTGAGCACACTCTGGCCCTCCGAGTCCCCACACCCCAGGGGACTCCCAGGACAAATGGCTCCTACAAAGCAGGCAGAGGGGCAGCCACCCAAGACCCTCCTCAGGGCAGGACTGGGATGGCAGCCACCTGGGGACTCACTGGAGGGAATCCCTGCCTGATGGGTCTCAGGGTCCCCAAGGAGGGCTCTGAACCTGAAATGACCCGGAAGGAGCCCTGCTCTGACCCCAAGAGGCCGCCATCAGCCAAGGCTGAGCCCAAGGGGGCACCACGGGTTCAGGGAGTGGAGCCCCCAGCCTGTCACTGCCGCCCAGAGCCCCGGAGCCGTCTGACCTGGAACTGGGCTGCTGTCTGGCAGCAAGTCCCTTCCTCTCCTCCCACCAGGGGGACAGGCCGCTCCCCAAGGAAGCAGAGCACTGGGGTCACTGCAGTGCTGGGGCCCAGGACGAGCAGGCAGAGCCCACCCGAGGAGAGAGCCCAGGCCCTGCCTCAGGTGAGGGGCACGGCTCCCTGCTGGCCGCATGTTCCAGGGCAGAAAGGGCCTCAAGAAAGGGCACAGGCTCCCCATCTGGGTCTCCAGGAATCTGCTGGGGGCGGCTTTAACCCAGGGAGTCCGGGGCCCATGCCTGGTGGCCGGACCTGCAACTGGTCTCTGACCAGCAACCCAGACTCAGGGCAGCCACGAGCGGAAACCAGCCCCTGGCTCCTGACCCTGCGTGGCAGGTGGCAGGCCACCCTGAAGTGCAGAGGCCAGAGCACACTGGGTCCTCATTGTGACCCCACCCCAAGAGCCCCTACAGACAACAGGCTGGAAGAGGAAGAGCGGCCACTCGCAGCGCCATAGCAACCGACCAGCCAATCCGCAGTGTTGTGCAGCAGGCCAGCCACCAGCTCATGACCTGATGGGGGCAGCAAGGAGGGCGCCGGGCTGCCTGGCGGGAGATGCTGCATGTGCCCCGCCCCCGCTGGGCAGGGTCCAGCTCTGCATTTCCTTCCTCTCCCAGGAGCCTCCCCTCCTCCAAGGCTCTCCTGGGTCTCCCCCTCCTCTCCCTTCCGAGGCCGGGCAGCTGCTGGAGACACCCTCTCAGTCCCATGGTGGGGACAAAGGGTCAGACAGCAAGGACGCCCATGGTCACCGAGAGGACCCGACGGCACAGGCAGGGCAGCCAGAGCAGAGCAGGCAGTTTGGGCGCAGTGGCAGCCCCTGCGTCTGGCCCCAGCAAAGCCAGCAAGAGGAGCCGGGTCCCTCCGCAGGGCGCGGGCACCTGCGGCCACGCACGTCAAGCGGCACAGGGCCGGCTGCAGTCCCCAAGCCTGTGCCCTCACGGTCACTGCTCTCTGGGTGGGGCTCAGCCCACAGCACCTTGGCTGCGGGAGTCGCCGGGTGGACGCCGGGCTGCAGAAAGCCAGGCGCCTGCTGCGACCCGTCTCCGGGGAAGAACACACCGCAGACTCCCAGAGGGAGGAGCATGTGGAGGGTCCGGGAGACCAGTCACGGGCTTCCCGAGCCTCCCCAGCCAGCCCCCAGGACGGGCTGCGAGCGTGGAATGCGCACCCGGGAGCCCCAGACACTTGTGCCCAGGCTTTCTCCTGGGGCGGGGCACACAGGCACCCCTGCCTGGCAGGACCAGTGCCAGACTCCCAGAGGGAAGTGTGTACTTAGCAGAAGTCACAGCGTCTGCAGAGTTCACGTTCAGGGAGCCCTCTAATCGGGGGTGGTGGGGGCCCCCCAAATCCACAGTTCTGGACACGGGGAGCCAGACTGGCCAGCAGGCCTCTCTGAGGCAGCAGCCTCGGGCCCACATGTGAGCTCATCTGCCTCGATCCAGCACAGGTGCCAGTCAGGAGACAGAGCTGGGCACCGCCGCACACCCGAGTCCCAAGGGGCAAGAGCCACCCGGCAGTGAGGCCCAGCCCAGGCCACACCTGCTCCCCCAGCTGCAGTGTGCTGATGACCACAGGAGCGCCCCCCTACCTTCCACGTTGTTGTAGAAGTGACAGGAGCGACTAGCCACCTTCTTGCGGCACAGGTGGATCTGGAAGGGAAGGACATGTGGTCGTGGCTGGCGCGACGGCCAAGAAAGAGCAGAGCACGGAGCACTGTTCCGGAGCCTGCCCCAGGCCCTGCTGCCAGCCGCTCTTCCCCGCCGCCCCCATCCTGGGCACAGCTGCGGCGCTGAGCCAGCAGCACAGGAGCAGAAGCCACAGGCCGAGCGGGTGGCGGGGGCCCACCTGCATGTGGCTGCTCTGCTGCTGCTTCACCTCGGGGTGGATGCACAGCTGCTCCCGGGAGCCCAGCACACACACCTTGGGCCTGCGGAGAGAACCGTGGGCCCGAGAGCTGGACAGCAGTAGCCGCAGTGCCGTCCATGTGGGGACACAGGGGGGCACCGGGAAACTTGGCTCCTGAGGCAGCCAGAGGGAGTGGCCAAGGTCAGCACATGGGGAAGGGCTGTCTCCAAGGCCCAGGGTGAGCAAGAATTGGAGGCTGGGGCTGGGCAGAGGGGAGGAGACTGGAGAGTGTCCCCGAGCTTGCTCACGGGGAGGCCAAGTGGGGCACCAAGACTCCTGCAGCAGCCTGACCTGGGGCAGGGTCTGCCTCCCCCTCCCGTGCGGGCTGCGCTGACCACACCACCTCTGAAGCCACAGCGCCTGCCCTGCGAGGAGCTCAGGGTGCAAACCAAGGTCGCAAGTGAACTCGAAGCTGCTCTCACAGGCGGTGCGGAGGCAGCCAGGCCGTGCACGGAGCACAGCAGAGCAGTGTGTCCTCCGGCTAGGGGCGGGCAAGGCCAGCCCCCTATAATTCTGAGGCGGGGGACGCCGCCTGACCCACCGGTAGGACGTGTTCCGAAGCTCGCCGATGACCTGCGTGAGCTGCGAGTGGGTCCTGGAGGCATAGATGATCTTTGGGATGTCCGCGTAGCAAGCTGCTCAGGCCCAAGGAAGCAAACAGGGCATGGCTCCACGAGGCAGTGTTCTCGTGTGCTGCTAACCCAGGGCACTCGGCTAACTCAGCCCTTCTAACGGACACGCGGCACTTGTACCAGGAATGGGCTAGGTGGGTGTCTGCAGAGTCCTAATTTGGCTGTGAGGCTCTGACCCCAGGTGTGCAGCCCGGCTGACGAGAGTGACGTGGCAGCTACAACACCATCTGTTCACCCTGCTCGAGGGCCTCACCTGCCAGTTCCAGCCCTCCACCTTCCTTCCACCCCGCATCCCTGTGGGAGGCCAGGACAGGGGCTGACCTGTGGCGTCTCCCTCTGAAGCAGCATTTCCCCAGGAAGACAAGGGGCGATCGAGGAAGAGCTCCCCTTGGGTCCTCTCAGCAATCTTTCGGGCGGAGATGGAGTCGCGAAGGTGCTCCCGCCAGGCCAGCGCGCTGCAGAGCAGGCACAGGGTCTTCCCTGTGCCCGTGGGGCTCTCCAGGATGCCGTTCACTTTCTGAATGGAAGGCAGAGTGAGGCACGGCCGCACGGCCCACCTGAGACAGGCCTGCAGCTCAGGCAGAGCCCACCCACCCGGTGAAAGGCCCCGAGGGACGGCGGATAATTCCACAGGACAACGTCCACGCTCAAACCAAAGCCTTGGGTTAATTCAGCCCTCATTAGCAAACAATTTGCAGGGTACTTTCCAACCTAATAAAAATAGTGAGATGACTAATTAGGTGTAAATCCCAAAACAGAAGCTTGTTCTGCAATTCTGGGTCTAGGCTTTCACACTATCGGACGGAACCTGGCAGCCGACATGGCTCTCGGGAGCCTGAGTGGGGAACCTGGGAGACAGGAAGGCAAAGTTGTGCCAAGCTCCTCACAGCAAGAGTCTGTGCCCACAGCAGCAGCCACGAGCCCAGCCACAGTCAGCCCTCAAAGGGATGGGGCTTGAGCAGGGAAGAAAGAGGGCATGCTAAGAAACCCAGCAGAGCCCGGCTCAGTGGTTGAGCATCGACCTTGCATCAAGAGGTCACCAGTTCGATTCCTGGTCAGGGCACATGCCCAGGTTGTGGGCCTGATCCCCAGTGGGGGGCGTGCAGGAGGCAGCCAGTTGATGTTTTCTCTCATCAATGTTTCTCTCTCTCCCCCTCTCCCTTCTTCTCTTTCTAAAAATCAATAAAAATAAAATAAAAATAAAAAAAGAAACCCAGCAGAAAGCAACCTGCACCCCTTCTGCCTTCCTGCACACCCCCGAGGTTTAAAGACCTTCCACAGTGTGGGCTGAGCACCAGCTGTCCCTCTATGTGGAAGTACATCCTCCAGACCCTCAGATGGCTGGCTGCCTAAACGTCACCTCCTCAGGGAGGCCCCACAGGTGCTCCCAAGCCTATTACCTGATGCCTTTTCTTCACAGCCCCCATCACCATCTAGAATGACCTTTCCTTGTTCACTGTTTATCGTCTCTCTTCCCCCACCTACAACGTCGGCCCTCCTTAGGAGTGACTCCCACGTCCAGAAGAGTGACGTTCACCCAGCAGGGCTGGGTCACAGTGAATAGGAAGGTGGAGTATGTCGGGTCTTGGCTGAAGTCCTGCCCACGCTGACCATCCCCAAGGTGCTTTACCTTCTGCAGACACTCCAGAACTTTGGTCATGTACTCCTCCTGGCATTTGTATGGCTGGAAAGGGAAATCCACGGTCACGCCATTCAGGGTTATCTTGGGCATAGTGGCCCGTTCTCAGGAGGGCACAGAGGTTGGCTGAAATGCTGGCTGTGTGGTCTGTGACGAAACCCTCTCTGAACATCTCAGGGTCTCAGTCGCTCCAGGTAACGGATGCCAGCCCGTGGCACTGGGGCATGACTCGGTTCCAGGGAACCCCTACGGCACAGAGATGGGACAAGACTGTTCGTAGCCAGCTTTTCTGGAGGCCAGACCACTCAGTCAGCCCAGGCAGCCCCTCCTGTGGACAAGGCCCCAGGCATGCCTGTGACACCCGTCACCAGGAGCTGGGAGCTGAAGGGCCTGGCATTGGGCCTGCCTGGTTCTGCCCCACGGCTCCCTCGCGCCCGGGACAGGCGGCCAGGCTCAGAGACAAGTGGGGAGCTCCACACGCCCCCCCTGCAGTAGATACTCACTTCCTGCCACCAGAGTTGGAGGCCAGGTTCTAGCAGCGTCCCACCCCACCTGGGCCGGTCTGAACCTCCTGCCCCTGCGTCTCCCAACCCTCTGCGCCCCTGGCCGGGAGCTACGTCCCTTCTCTCCGGTGAGCAAGCACATGTGCCGGGTCCAATCAGGGAGGCGAATCCATGAGGGCCCCGCAAGTCGTTCAACTGCTCTAGGCCTCCGTTTCCCCTGGACGCCAGGAGTAACAGGCCATTCACCCCAAGAATGCCCGCCCTTGCCGTAGGGCCCGGCCACAAGGGAACCAAAGCCCAGGGGCCGGTTCCGCCAAGCGCGGCGCCGGGAGCCCACGAGCGCAGGAAAACTACCGGCCCCAGAATGCAGCGCGGCCAAATCGCCTACGCGCGGGCCCGAGGGCGGCGCGGAGCCTCCCGGGAGCTGTAGTTTCGGAAGCCGCCACTCAGGTTAAAGTACCAGTCTCCGAGTCTCCGCGACTCCCGGCCCAGTAGTCTCCGCGGGAAGCCTTCCACGACCGAGGGTCCCAGGAATTCACCCCAGTCCGGCCGCGGCACCACCAGTGCGTCCTGCGCCGTCAGTCGGTTCGGACTTCGCGCGCTCAGCCGCGCAGTCGTCACTTCTGTTCCCGATTCCGGTCCGCGGCGCGGCGCTCCCAGCGGAAACCGTTCTCCAGCCGAGGGTTCCGCGCTGCTGGTGCGCTGGGTGTCAGGCCCCACCTGCCCCTTTCTTTGACCCTGAGCCTGGGGACTAGCACTCCATCGCCCACGAGCAGAAACCTGGGGTCCCGCTGTCCCCTCCCTCGATGTCATCCCCACCGTGGCCTCCATTCCTTGCTTGTTTGCCTGGACACTCAGAACATTTTTAAAGACTGGAGTCTGAGCTAATCACTCTTCTTAAATCCACAAATGGCTTCTAATTGCCATACTGGTTCCTGGGAACCTCTAGAGCTCCTTCTTTACTGTCCCCTCAGTTCAGCCGCTTTTCCAGTGGATGTTCCCCCCACTGGTCAGGGCGGGGCCCCTCTGAATCCCCAGCTCCTAGCACCAGCTGGCAGTCAACAGGGAGTCCCGGGGATCCACATGGCTCTGCAGAGTCCGAGATACTGGTCTAGGTGCCCCCAGCATGTTCCAAAGACTCTAGGAAGAAATCAGCACTGCAGTGATGGCCCACGGGCAGCTGGCAATGCTGATTTCAGAGCTTCTTACGGGCTCATTTAATATCCAGATGTTTTCCCGCTGATGGCACATTTATGCCATGTGCATTGCATGCTAATGTGTGAGATCATGCTTTAGGAAGTCCCTGACAGAAGCTGGCATCCACCCCCAGCACCTGTTCCGATGAGGGGATGGTAGTGTGTCTACCTTGGCCTCTGCGCAGGGAGCTTGGAGAAGATGAGGAGACTTGGCCACGCTTGCTGAATGCTCACCAGCCACAGACTTCAGAACCACCCATGCGAGCATTGGCATGTTTGTCCTTCTGACCTCTGAGATAAGTTCTTCCATTGTCCACACTTTATAGGTGAGGAAGGAAAGAACGCATAGGTGGTTAGTGGATTGCCTGAGCCGGCAGCCAGCAAGTCGCAGGGCCAGGAGTCGCCCTCTTAACTTCTACCCCCACCCCATCTTCTGAGAGCAGCATTCATGCCCCCATAAGCCCAAGGAAGGGAAGGCTAGAATCCAGAGACTTGGCAACTTTCTGGGCCAGGACTAGAGATGAGGACCCCAAGATTGAGCTGATGCATGAGCCGCCTGACCACACATCGTGCAAAGAAACTGCCCAGCCTCCCACAAATTATAACATGTAAATGCTGTTGTACTAAGCCTAACCCTGAGAGATGATAGGAGAGGGAAACCGAGGCTGACCAAAGCAAGCCCTGCTCAGCGGCACAGGGATCTTGATTGGCCAACACATTTTAACTGACCGCCTGTTCTGGCAGGCTCTGCGGGACTCCCACAGTGGACCAGATGCCATGTGGACCACAGGACAGATGTTAGCCAGTCACACGCTCTCTTCGTGTGCACATCAAAGTGTGTTTATGTACACACCTGCTGGGCCTCCTCCTGGCTGGCTCTGATCCTTAAGTCTGCCCCTGCCTTTCACCTTTCCGAGCCTACCTCATCTCTCTGCAGGTTCCTGGGGTTTCCCAGAGTTTTATTCCTGGCCCTGAGACTTAATTGCTCCAGGAGTGAGCACTGCTCTCAGCCTTGGTGGCTTTGTCCCTGAAATGGGAATGACAGTTCATCTGTCTGACTTTCTGTTCCCAAAGTGAGGCAAGGTGGTCGCTGAGAAAAGGGCCCACCATCTCTGTCAGGATCTCCCTTTGCAGAAATCAACCAGAACCCCGAGCCCAGAGGAGGGGGAGGCAGAACGTCCACCCACTCACCAAGTGTACACATCTGTCCTCTATCACCTGGGAACTGGAGTGGTTTTCTCATCTTACCCCGGAGACGTGGAGGCCTGGAGAGTTCAGAAATTCACCCTCAGTCACACAGCAAGTGGCTGTCAGAGCTGTGTCTGGAACAACCCTGTATCTTACTTGGAAGCCCTTGTCCTAGTCCCTTAGTCACCACCCCCCACTTACCCTCTTCTCTGCCTCAGAATCTGCCTCTGGGGTCTTCCACATCAGCTCACACCCACGTTCATGACAGTTCCCTTCAGCACAGACCTGGGCACACAGAAGGTGCCCCCAGCCTCCAGCGGCCTCAGTGAAGAGCTCTCCGACCCCACCCTCGTGTAGGGCGGCCCCCTCCTGCGGGGTCCACGCTGAGGAGTGGGGGCTGTCTCTACCATCCCCCTAAGCCTGCACAGAGCCGAGCTGGGGGAGCAGCGGGTCCCTGCAGTGAGCAGTGGAGGATGGGCATCTGTTTGCGGCACTCAGCCCTGCGTTCCAGGTTGGTCTCTCCCCTTCCTCCTCCCCTCTCTCCACTCCTCCCTCCTCCCCTCTCTCCAGCTCTCTTCCTCTGCCGCCTGCAGCCCCTGCCACAGCCAGGCGCTCGCGCTCGCTCTTTCGCTCGCTCTCTTCCTCGCTCCCTCTCGCTCTCTCTACCCCACCCCCCCTCGCCGCGCCGCCTCCCCCCTCCCTCGCTCCCTCCCCTCCCTGGCACTGCAGCATTCGCCGACTGCAGCTCCAGCCGCCGCCCGCGCCTCTCCGGCCTCTGCAGCCCCGCCGCCTCCAGCACCATGGCCAGCACCGTGTCCGGTAGGCGTCGTAGCCGCGGGCTTCCCGGGGCCTCGGCAGGTCTCAGCAGAGGCCATTGTCTGGCCTCGCCCGATGCTGGGGCCAGTTGTGGACTCTATTTTCCCATCGGGGACCTGCGCACCGCAAGGACGCAGGGCGCGACCGGGCCGAACCCTCAGGAGCCGGGGTTCGTGGATGCCGGGTTGGGACGACCCGGTGCCCCAAAGGCGGGAATTGCGGAGCGGGCCTGGCGGGCGTGGCTCCGGGGAGCGCCCTGGGTGGGGGCGTCCGGCACCGGGGCGCATTGCCCCTTCGGGCTCCGCGGAATCAGGCCTAGCGCGACTGCGGCAGGCTGGATCCCAGGGTTGGGGCGCGGGCCCGTGACCCGGGTGAGTGCGCTTGCGGGTGCGGACAGGGTCCCCTGAGGCGCCCGGCGACCGCAGACCCTGGTCGGAATGCGCCTTCGCAAAAGGCCGGGGGTGGGGGAGGGAGAGGGTGGGATCCTTTGTGGGAGCCCCCGTGCAGGAGTGGCCGGGCGAACCCGCCCCGCGCCAGTGGAGCACCCCGGAAGGCTGGAGTGGGTGCTGAGCAAGGACGGGGATGGAGACCCGAGCTGGGACCCAGCGGAGCGGCGCTCGCACCTCTCATCGCTGCCCCCTCCCCCCGCGCGCTGAGAGCTCGGGGACCACCCTCTGCGACACGATGCCACCCGCTCTGGTCGAAAAAGCCACCGCCCTTTGCGCAGCGGGGCTTGGACGGGGGAGGGGCTGCCGTTTCCTTGGATGGTGGTCTGCGCCTCCCTCCCCAGCCGCCGCCTTCCGGGCTGCGGACCACTGCCTTCCAGGGCAGCGAGCCGCGCCTTTCTGGCCCACGCCCAGCGCGGAGCTCGGCGGAGGGGCGAGGAAGCGGGGCTCACTCCACTCAGGAGCCGTATGCTCCGTCCAGGCGCCCCAAGACCAGCTTTATCTTTGCACTCGGGGTCCGGACAGCAGGGACAGGCGCCCCGCCCCCTCTCCCTTCGGACCAGGAACCGCACTCCCGCCCACCCTTACCTCCGCCCTGCGGGCCGAGGTCCGAGGCCTCCTTTCCTTAGCCCCGCCCACCCACGTGTGCCCCCCACCTTGACCCCGCCCCTCAGGCCCCGTGGATTCCAGGCCCCAGGTGACTCCTGCACCTGCGGGGGGCGGGGGTGGGGAGAGACACGTGCAGCTGCACTAACCACAGTCTTCCAACATCGCCTGGGGGTCTGGTCCATCTGGGCATCTTCCCTGCTGCCCTCTCGCTGACTTTCACAGACATTGGGACCAGCTTTGGGCAGAGAGAGACCCTCCTCCAGTGACAGAAGGTGGCTCTGTCTTTTCCGTGGCCAGAGTGCTGCCCTGTCCCACACTGAGGAGGGACTGTGGGTCCTTGTCACTACCTGTGCCTGAGCTGAAGAGCAATGGGCAGCCACTTGTGGGGAGCCCTGCTCAGATTTTTCTCTCGTTCACCCCGGCAGTGAAAACCCTGTTCAACAGGCCTCATTCCTGCCATCCGTCTAACAGATGAGCAGACTGACATTAGGCAGGGAAGGACACAGCCAAAACTGCACCTGTGACGGCCATCAGAGCTGGGCACAGACACCCTCTGACTTCAGAGTCCCTGGCACCAGCTCTTTCTTTCTCTCTTTAAAAAAAAAAAAATTTCCCTTTGTTGATTTTAGAGAGAGAGAGGAAGGGAGAGGGAGGGAGAGATAGAAACATGGATGAGAGAGAACATCAATGGGCCACCTCCTGCATGCCCTCCACTAGGGATTGGGCCCACAACCTGGGCGTGTGTCCTGACTGGGAATCGAACCAGCGACCACTGGGTGCATGGGCTGATGCTCAACCACTGAGCCAGCTCTTTCTTCTTTGCCAGATGTTGGGGCACTGCTGACCCTTGCTTGGTCCCATGATTTTTCTGGGTGTCAGAGTTTCCATTGTTGTCCAAAGGGAAACCATAAGTGCAGTTGGTCCAGTGCGGCCACCACCCCAAACACAAGCCACAGTGCCAGCTGGGGAACTTCCCCCTGGCTGATGGCACCCGGGGCTGGGCTTTTCCTGTCTTGCCATCAGTGCTGCCCTTGACAGAGGGGAGCTGCAGGTGCACAGTCTGTGCTCCCAGCTTCTCCAGCCATCAGCGCTGAGTAGCCTAGCGGCCTGGCCCAGACGAGGCTACAGGGCCACAGTCGGATTACGTGGACTCCAGCTATAGCTTCTCTGTTAAAGACACCTTGACCGGAGCAGCCGCCAGCCTCCTGTGTGGTGGCAGCCAGTCTGCTCACACTCACTGGTGGTTTGTCGGGTCTTGGTGACTGCGGTGGAGTCTCATTTGCTGTGGCTCCATAGCCACCACAAGACTGAGTGTTGCTTTCTCTTTCTATGTAGACCTAAAGCTCCCGCCACTCTCGCGATGGCTTCGCACTTGCTTGGGAAGACGCGGAGCCCCTCGGTGTCCATGTCAGGCACACAGCTCTCTCGGGCTTTGGTAGACTTGCTCATTCTGTGCCGTGGGCTCTTGCACCTGCCGCGAGGCCTTTCTTCTGCTACTGAACTCGGGGCCTTTATTTCCCTATCTGGATGGGGGAGAGGGGATCCAGGCACCCCCTAGGCTTGTTCTGAGGGTCAAATGAATTATTTCAGGACAGGCGCTTGGCCTGAGGCCTGGCAAGAGGAGAGTGCCCTGGCCATGCCGAGCAGCGTGCTTGTTATGGCTACATTTACCAATTTCCTGCCCAGAGAAAGGAGATGTGACCACATGTTTCCCCCATGCTGGGCTCCTGGCACTGTTGGGGGCAACTCTGACATGTGACAGAGTGGCAGACTGGGCGGCAAGAAGTTCCACCTGCTGGGGAGCAGTCAGCAGCAACCCCCAGGGCCCTTCTAGGGGTTAGTGGGCATCTGTGGCTCCTTGCCCTCCCAGTTCTGGATGGACCTCTGTCCCCATGAGGCTGCCAACAGGAAAGTGACTTCAGAGGCCTGGACTTGTGACCAGGCTCCCATCCTGGCATGCTGTGTGACCTTGGGTGGGCCGTTGGCCTCTCTGAGCGTCCTTTCTCCACAAGCGAGGTTGATAGCGGTGTCTGCCTGGGCTGGCTGGTCTTGAGGGTCAGTTGGGAGGACGGGTGTGATGCACCCACACCATGGGTGCTGGTATTGTTGTTCCCATGTGGCTGAAGGCTGATCTGGTGCCTTCTAACTCTGGCTCATCTAGCATCTAATCATCCAAAGCGCAGCATGCATTTTTGCATATTTATTTAAGGTGAAAAGGAAGAGGGAGACGGAGTTAATCCAGGTCATGGCAGAGGTTTGTTTGTAAAAACTTCTGAGGCCAGGGATGGGGAAGGAAGAGAAGGGTGCTGGCAAAGGGGGGAAAAGGCAGGGTGTGCCTTGAGGCCCTAGAGGGGCTCCCTGGCTTGACCTATGTTTGTGGAGAGGACCTGGATGGGTCTGGGTCTCCATCTCTTCCCTCTGCAGTGAGACATGACCTGTAAGCCCCTCCAGCTCTGAACATATAGGTGTTACCTCTTGTCTTGCATGAGGCCGAGCCGGCCTCTTTCTCTAATTCCCCACCTGCCGGCCAGTCCCCTCGACATGCAGCCAGGCCACAGAGCAGGCCTCGCTCTCAAGCTCCTTCCCACTCAGCTTCATGAGGACCAGTGTTCTGGAAAGGACCGGGATAAACCAACCTGGGGGATCTCCATGACCATCAGATGCTGACTTGCGTCCCTGTTCACAGCTGCAGGACACCGTCCCTCATTTCCCAGGTGGACGCTTGTCCGCCGGGCACAGCTGTGACCTATGAGAGCTCCGACCTCAGTCTCCAGCCCCAGGCCCTCTCCTCTCTCTCCTGACAGTGCAGAGCTCACCTGCCCATGCTCCCCATCCTGCTCCCTGAATTGCTGCCAGCCTTCTCCCATGCTGGGGTGCAGTGACCTGGAAGGAAGCCCCACTGGCATTGTCCGTGGACGTGTTCCTCTGCAGTGAACCCGCAGCTCCTTTTCCTGGGAAAATTTCAGGCTCAAGGCAAAGAGCAGCCAGAGCAGCTGTGAGGCCCTGGGATCTTGGCTTCTGCCCTACACCCACTCAGAGGTTCCGAAAGGCCAGCATGGGCGACGGTGTCAGGTGCTATTAGGTTAGACAGAACCCTCTCTGGCCTGTCCTCTCTCAGGATTCAGGGGTGCCTCCTGGTGCAGAACCCTCCCCCTTCCCTTCTGAGCATAGGGGTGGCTGCTCGCTGGCCTCTCCTGGCCCTGCCTGGCCACATGCGCTGTGATGTACCCTTCTACCTCCTCTTTGAAATCAACTTTTAACAATGCCAGGGATACATGAGTAGATTCTGCTTGTAAAGAAATAAAACTGACAAGCCAGGCCAAAATCCTCTTTGAGCCCCCCCCCCCCCGCTGCACTCCACCTCCCTCCAGCTTCCTGGAACCAACGAGTGGGATGTGTGTTTGCCCTGCACCCCTCCAAGCCCCCGAAGGCTCTCCGTGCTGCTTGTCCAGGAGTCCTGTGCTCTCTTCACAGCCTCTCGGGCTCTCTCCAGCAGAGTCTGAGCCCTCAAGATATTTCGGTCAAGCAGCCTCATTCTTGGTGCTGGCTGGGGGAGGGCCCTGCTCCCCAGGAGCTGTTCCCAGTTGTTTCCGTCCTGTGCCCTGTTTTGACACCAACGCACTCCTCAATTTCATATTAGCTCAGTCTGAGAACATCTTGTGTGAAATTTGATCAGAACATTTCCCATCCACCTGAACACGCGTCCACGTTCTGCGTGCCCCTTGGAAGAACAATGTAGGTGATGTGCCTGCCTTCCCCCTCCTGGGAGCCAGGTCCCCTCTGCCTGCAGTGTCTCTCTGGTGGCACATGGGTCTCTGAGCCTCCTCGACTGTGGGACCTGCTGGAGCCGTGGAAAGAACTCCACAGCTGGGGTTGTACTCAAGGAGCTCGGAGCAAGCCACCCAGCCACGGGGGCCCAGTGTCATCCTGGTTGAGTCGGGGTGACAGTGTTGGGATTGCAGGATTGTTAGCCCTAGTGAGACGCTGGACCAATGTGTCTACTCTGAGGCCTGGCTTGCCATGGATACACCACGAATGGCTCAGTTATTTCCATTCTGAGTGTGGGCATCTTCCCTTCCCCCAACCGGGCTCAGGGCCTCAGCATCCAGGCTCATCTCCTTTTCTGTCTGGGCTGTGGCAACACTGGCCCTGGGCACTGGGTCTGCAAAGCTGTAAGAGAGACTGTGGTGCTGAACGGACAGCTCCCCCTTTGGCCTTAGTGCGTCTGGTGAAGGCAGGGTTTAACGGGGTGACCACACTACTGTCAGGGTAAATGGAGGGGGTGGAGATAGGGGGTCTGAGGACTTCACCCAAATGTACAGCTCAAGGCAGCGCCACCTGCAGAAGCTCCACTCCGGTGCCAGCCCAGTCCTGAGCGGCTAAAATGGTCTGCCCCAGGGAGTGAGCTCTGAGAGGGGGAAGTACATGGGGGGGGGGCAGAAAGAACGAGAGTTGGCAAGATACACAGTGACAAGGAATCACCGACACAGAATGATATGACGAGAGATAGTGACAGACAGAGGGATGAACAGAGACATAGCAATGCAGAAGAGTCAGACAGACAGGGCTGAGAGACAGGAGCAGAAAGAACAATGCAGGGTGACCCACAGGGAGGCATGCCCAGGGAAAGACCTTCAACACCGGGAGGGTGGAGAGGGAGAGAAGAGATGCAGAGAGTCAGAGATGTGGGAGCAGAGAGGCTCCCAGAGAGATGGGCTGGAGGGAGGAGCCCCGGGGAGAAACAGGGGGGTAGGTGAGGGGGGCTGCTCACCCCAGCCTCTCGCCCACAGCCTACAAGGAGAAGATGAAGGAGCTGTCCGTGCTGTCGCTCATCTGCTCCTGCTTCTACTCACAGCCGCACCCCAACACCATCTACCAGTATGGGGGTAAGTGTGCCTCCTGCCTCTCCCATGGCCTTTTGACCCCCTAGCTTGGCTGGCTTCTAAAGAGGGAAGTTTGGGAAAGGGGCCAGTATAGGGGCTCAGGCCTTCAGGTCCTCCATGAGCAGCCACCCACCCCCCCATTCAGGCCTTGATTTATTATGATTATTATTTTTTAATCCTCACCCAACGATTTTTTTCATTGACTTCTAGAGAGAGTAGAAAGGAGGGAGGGAGAGAGAGAAACATTGATGTGAGAGAGACACATGGATTGGTTGCCTCCCACACGACCCCCAACCAGGGCCGAGGATGGAACCACACCCAAGGTACGTGCCCTTGACTGGGAATCAAACCCATGACGCTCTGGTCTGTAGGCCGATGCTCTAACCACTGAACAAACTGGCCAGGGCAAAGCCTTGATTTGGATGCGTGCTGGGAACTGGCCCCTCTGCCCACACCTCCTTGGCTGGCCCTTCTGAAGCCCCTTGTCTGGTCTTGCCCTGCAGACATGGAGGTGAAACAGCTGGATAAGAGGGCCTCTGGCCAGAGTTTCGAGGTCATCCTCAAGTCCCCTTCTGACCTGTCGCCCGAGAGCCCTGTGCTCTCCTCCCCCCCCAAGAGGAAGGACACCTCCCTGGAGGAGCTGCAGAAGCGGCTGGAGGCAGCTGAGGAGCGGAGGAAGGTAAGAACCCCACCTTTGTCCTGGTGAAGGTAGCCAGGAGGTCTCACCGGCCGTGGACACAGTCCCCACGTGCAGGGTGCTCCAAGCCCCTGCTTGGCTGTTGACCTGGGGTGGAAAGTCTCATGGTTTCCTGGACCTCCCCCTGAGAGATCAGAATGGGACAAGGAGAAGGAAGGGTTCCCAATGGCAGTCCAGCCTCATGTCCCAGGACCATACCTGGGAATGAGAAGGAAGGGCCTCCCTGTGCTGGGGGCCGCAAACCTAGACCTGCTGGGAGCTCAGAGGGCCTCTGGGAAAATGGGGTGGGCTCCAGGCCCCTCCCCGCCCCTTCACCTCACACCATCCCCTTCAAGACTGAAACACGTAGAAGAGGAATGGCTCTCCGGAGTGCATCCTGGTGCCCAAGCCCATGGGGGGGCAGTGGCTCCATATCCCTTACAGCAGGTCCCAGTGAGAAGGGAGGCCTGGGGACTTTCCAGGGTTAACCAGTGGTGACTGGCCTTCTGAAGGAGGCAGAGGATGCTAATTGCCCCTGGGAGCCTCCGGCTCTCCTTGGGGCACCACCAGGCAGCTCTTCCCCCAGCAGGGCCCGATTTTGTGTTGCCAACAGCCCCAGGCTCCTCTCTCCAGCTCACCCTCTCCCCAGCATCCCTGGGGAGCTGCCCACCACCACCAGCATTTTAGAAAGCTCAGCACCTGGCCTGTACCAAGCAGCTACTTTGTGCTCAGTGGGCAGAGGTTTGGGGAAGAGCCGAGAAAGCTCAGTGCCAGCCCACGGTTTAGATTCCCTTTGCTCCCAGAGCACCGCGGGGCTTGGAGCGCAGAGAGGGACCGAGCTGCCTCAGCCTGGCAGGGAGGGGCAGCTCTATGGGGACGGACCAACAGGGTGAGGGGCTGAGGGGTCCCCAGACACGCGAAGCTTTCAGTGCTCTCGTCCAGAAAGTTAGGCAAACCCTCCCAAACGCAGGGCAGTGTGGGCCCCAGCTCCGCGAAGACGTGTGTCCAAAGGGCAACTGGGCCGGGTGATGGGCACTGGGCAGGGTCAGACGGCAGCATGGGGGGCCAGGGTGCGGGCGTGGGGTGTCCCGGCTGGGGGCTCGGGTAGGGTCCTGGGTGCAGTCGGGGGGCCGGGGCCTGGGCCGGGGGCGCGGTGGGGATGCGTCCTGGGGGCGGGGCCCGGGCTGCAGCCTCGCCCCCGCCCCACCGTGCAGACGCAGGAGGCGCAGGTGCTGAAGCAGCTGGCGGAGCGGCGCGAGCACGAGCGCGAGGTGCTGCACAAGGCGCTGGAGGAGAACAACAACTTCAGCCGCCTGGCGGAGGAGAAGCTCAACTACAAGATGGAGCTCAGCAAGGAGATCCGCGAGGCGCACCTGGCGGCGCTGCGCGAGCGGCTGCGCGAGAAGGTGCGCGCCCGGGCGGGGAGGGCGGGCCCCCAGGCTCGGCGTGGGGTCAGCAGGATGAGCCCACCCGGCATTTTTTGGGCGCCTCCAGCAGCACAGGAATGGGGAGGGCCATGGTCTGGTCCTGCTGGGGTGCAGTCGATGACGCAGTAACAACGTACATGTTACTTTTGAAATGCTCTGGAGGAAGCGTATCCGGATGTGAGCTAGGAGAGGGAGGAGCTGTTCTGGGTTTGGGGCAGGCGTCCCCAAGGAGCCTCTTTGGCGGGCCCCTGACCCGTGCATCTCCAGCGTCCCCGCCGACTGGGCCCTGCCTGGGGCCAGCCCAGGATGAGGTGAAGCTCTGCTGCTGCGACTGGAGGGAGAGCAGGGCCCCGCTCACCCCCACCTCGTCCCCGCAGGAGCTGCACGCGGCCGAGGTGCGCAGGAACAAGGAGCAGCGAGAGGAGATGTCGGGCTAAGGGGCTTTGGACGCCGCAGCGCCTGGATCCTGAGCCGACACAAGAACATGTTCGGGTTTTGGTTTTGTTTTGTTCAACTCTGTCTAGATGCAACTCTTGTTCCCGCTCCTCCTTTCCTGTCCCCCCGCACCCCCAGCTTCATGCTTCTCTTTCCGCACTCTGAGCTGTCCAGTCCTGTGGCAGTCGCTGACCACAGGCTCTCCCTGGAGGAGCCCCCTGGGCGCCACTGGCACAGGGTCCCTCACTCAGTTCGGGCAGCAGGCCGGGTGGTGGCTCGGTCCCCTCTTGGCAGTCCTCTTAGTGGATATGAGGGTGACCAGGGGTGGTGGCAGGAACACTCGGGTCCTTATGTTGGGTTGTCCTGTGAGCACCTTATCACTTAGGGCACCTCCAAGCAAAAGCACCACCACCTGCAGGCCCTCTGGTGGGGTGGAGCTCCGCACAGGAGGGGAGGAGGAAGAGTGAGACCGTGATGGACCTCGGGCACTGTGGGGCCGGGTCATCCTGCCAAGGTGGCCAGCCCCAGGAGCATGTGTGCAGTGGGCCTTTGTGGGCGGGAAGGCTGCAGCACCTGTTAGTGTGATAGCACGGGGCCCTCTGAGACCACCTGGCCTGTGATGGACACCCTGGGCTGGCCTGGGAGACTGGTCACTGCCTGTGGCTGGAGTGGCGGCGGTATGGGCTGTGATCTGGACTGAGTCTTCAGGGGAGTGGGCTTTTCCACCAGGGACCCAAGAGTAGGCTGCTGTGGCAGAGAGGGTTGTGGGCAGCATGTCACCCCTGCTGGCCCTCCTTCCAAGAGCCTCCAGCAGAGCACCGGTGGGGAAGCCCAGCTGCTGTCCCACCCTCCTCTCCTCCCTGGAGCTTTGCAGACCTGTCCTTAGAGCCCTTTGGCGTCTTGGTCCCTTCCCATGCCCACCCACAATGCTCCTGGCCATGGGGCTGTCAGGCTCTCCTCCAGCCATGGGAGTGGCAGCCACAGGAGCCCCTAGCAGACAGCAGGGGGCAGGGGGCAGGGTTCCCAAGCCTCCTCCCCACCTGGTCCATCCTTGGCATTCCTGGCCAGTGCCTCCCTCTGGCCAGCCTACAGGTTGGAGGTCTGGCTCTAGGCCTCTCCCACCAAGACCCTCCTGGACTGGATTCCTTCCCCTCCCTCAGCCTGGCCTTTGAGGACTGCCACTGGCCTGGACATGGGGATTGTGCGGTCTTTGACCCACCATCCTCCCCTTCTCCATGGCAGTCCCACCCCTCAGATGGGTACTGGTGGCAGGGTCCCTGCTGACCGTCCTCTTGGTGGAGAGCATGAGGGGACAGACAACAAGTCCTTGCAGGACCTAGAGTCACGCCTCAGAAACCAGGTGGTTGCAGCCCCCAGTGCCCAGCTTTCATCCTGCAGAAACCAATGGCGGCCCAGCCAGGGAGTGGGGTGGATGCTGATCCCCTGTGGACTTAGGGGGAAGTAGGGACCCACGCCCCCTCCCTGTCCCCACTAAGATAGCCTCTGGCCGGAGTGGAACCCAGCAGTGCCCACCGCAGCTCTGGTGGGACGCGGAAGGAACGCGGAAAGGGAGCGGAGGGCTGGGTTCTGTTAGCCGTGCAGCTCTCATCGCGGAAGCCTAGTGTAAATGCACCCATCTCATCCCGTAGTGAAAGTGAACTTAAAAACTAAATCAAACGAACAATTAAAGACAAAGAAAAACCTGTGTGTTTAAGAAACAGGGGCACTGTCCCAGTGTGTGTCCTGCGTCTGTGGGGTGGGGACTGGGCTGCGAGGCCACGGCCTGTGTGAGGGAGCGGGAGAACGCTCAGCTGTAACTCCCACGGAAGCTGGTTATCAGGTTTGACCACAATTAGAAATAGTTCTAGTGACGATGGCAATTTTAATAAATGAGTGTGTAAATGACACAGCCCATTTTCCCACTGGGTATCCTGGGAGACGGTGGGGGTGGGGGAGGAGACAGGCCACCCGGCTCTTCCCAGGGCCCAGCCTTCCTGCTGTGTCTCCAGAAGAACCACCTCAGAGGCTGCACAGTCACCTAAGTTACGGATATACTAGAAATTTTGAGAAAACCAACGTTTTGCCCTGGCCAGTTTGGCTCAGCGGTTAGAGCATCAGCCTGTGGTCCAGAGAGACCCGGGTTCGGTTCCCGCTAAGGGCTTGTACCTCGGTTGCAGTTTGTCCCGGCCCTGGTTGGGTCGTGCAGGTGGCAACCACTCGATGTGTCCCTTTCACGTGGATGTTTCTCTCTCTCTCCCTCCCATTTTTTGAACAAAATATGGAAAAAATGTCCTCGGGTGAGGATTAAAAAAAAGAAGAAAACCAACGTTTTGGTTTCAGGGACCCCTTACAATCTTAAAAATTTATGGAGGACCCCCCCTCCAAGAGCTTGGTTTATGCGGGTTACACAGATCGACAATGATCACATTAGGAATTAGGGCTCAGAAATTTAAAATAATTGTACTTTACTTAAAAATGAGCCCTGGCCAGTTTGGCTCAGCGGTTAGAGCGTCGGCCTGCGGTCCGGAGAGACCCGCTAAGGGCACGTACTTCGGTTGCAGTTTGTCCCCGGCCCTGGTTGGTCGTGCGGGTGGCAGCCACTCGATGTGTCCCTTCATGTCAATGTTTCTTTCTCTCTCTCCCTCCCACTCTATCTGTACAAAAAATGGAAAAATATCCTCGGGTGAGGATAAAAAAAAAAAAGATACACCCCTCACTTTTAGCATAACATCTTAAAAGGAAAACAATGAAAATCCACCCCCCGCCCCAACCTGGAATGGCTGAAGTATATGAAAACAACCTGGCTTCAGGGAGACAGACCCCTGCTGCCAGTGCCCCTCTGGGCCTTCTCTGTTGGTTTTATTGGCATTTGTGTCCAGACGCTGAAGACAAGGGAAGCTGGGCAAATGAAAGACCTAGACCACGCACACCTGCTCTGATAATAGGCTCGGCGGTTTAATCTTTACAAAGAAAGACTTTTCCCATCGTTGGCTTGAATACACTCTACATTATTGAAAACAATGAAAATCTCATGATAACATCACTGAAAGGAAGTTTGCTTGAAAACTTCCCATTCCGGGAAATGGCCTTCAGTGGTCTTCCTGCTGAAGAATGAACACGGGTTTACGGCGTGGTCCCACACAAGCCATGTTTCCTGCCTGTTCCAGGCGCGGGACCCCGCCACCTTCCACCCCGCCCGTCTCCCCGCGGCGGCCAGCGAGCCAGGATGCGCCTGACACCGGAAGTCCTCCAGCCAGGGGCAGGTCGCGTCCCTGACCCCCAGCCTGGGGCCCCCACTGCACCTGTCCCGGGCTCACAAGCCAAAGCGCCACGAGAGCGGAGCGATGCCCGTATTGTTACGTTCTGGGCTTTATTCCAGTCCAGACCTTGAGTCTCAGGCGTCCCTAACCCCACGTCTGTCTTACGTGACTCAGGTATAACCGAGGAGCTGGATTTTGGTTTTAATTAAACCTAAAGGAGCACGTGTTGCCAGGGGCCGGGGCTCACCCTACAGGGACCGCGCACGGCGCTTTCCCAAGACCGCCCAGGCCGTCCGGGAGGCCGCTGGAGGGCACCGCAGGGCCACGCGGGCCCGCGCCCGGGGAGCGAAGGACGCAGGGCAGGCCCTCCGGCCCCTCCGGCCCCTCCGGCCCGGCCCCTCGCGCGCTGAGATGAGCTGCTGGTGCTTACTGCTCACGCACACGTCCCTCGGCCCCGGCACAGTCCCCCTACGCACTCCTCCCCCGCGCGTGCCCACGGAGGAGGCCTGTCGGGGCCCGGCAGGTGCGTGGGCGCCCGCAGGTGAGCCGGCGGGCAGGGGCGGGGCCCGGGAGGAGCCTTCCCGCGAAGATGCCGCCGCGCACGCGCGTCTGGCTCCGCTGGGCCTTATTTCTCGGCATCGCCCGTCTCCCCGCCGAACGCCAAATAAATCTCCGGGCCGCCCCTGCCCGTGCGTGCGCGGCCCCGCCGCCGGCGTCACTAGGAAGCGCGCTCCCGGGCTGCCGCCGCCGCCGCCGCCGCCGCCGCCGAATCCCTAACAAGGAGCGGAACCCGCGGCCGCCGCCGCCGCCGCCGCCCCCGCCCCTGCCGTCCGCCCGCCCGCCGGCGCCCGCGCAGGCCCGGCCGCGGCCCAGGTAAGCGCCCGCCGCCCCCCGCGGCGAGGCCTCTCGCTCCGCCGCGCGCCGCCGTCCAGTCAGGGGTCCCTGCGGAGCGTCAGGACGTTACGGCGGGGGGAGGGGAGCGGGGGAGGGGCGGTGGCGCGCGGCGGGCGTCACGGGCGTCACGGGCCCGCGTCAGGCGGCGTCGGCGGCGGCGTCCGCCTCCATCTTGCCGGAAGGTGGCGGCGGCGGGCGCAGGGGGTGGTGTTGGTGTGGGCGCGGGCCGGGTGGGGGCCGTGTCCACGCGGGGCCTTCCCCGGTGGGAGCCGTGTCCACACGGGCCCCTTCCCCGGTGGGGGCCGTGTCCACGCGGGGCCTTCCCCGGTGGGGGCCGTGTCCACGCGGGTCCCCAAGTGAGAATCTTGTTTACGCGGGGTCTTGTTCACCGGGGGGTGGGGGTTGTGTCCACGCGAGTCCCCTCCCCCCGTGGGAGCCGTGTCCACACGGGGTCTTCTCGGTGGGGACTGTATCCACGCGGGGCCCCCTCCACGCGAGGTCTCCTCCCCGGGGGGCCTGTGTCCACGCGAGTCCCCTCCCCCCGTGGGAGCCGTGTCCACACGGGGTCTTCTCGGTGGGGACTGTATCCACGCGGGGCCCCCTCCACGCGAGGTCTCCTCCCCGGGGGGCCTGTGTCCACGCGAGTCCCCTCCCCCCGTGGGAGCCGTGTCCACGCGGGGCCTCTTACCCCGTGGGAGCCGTGTCCACACGGGGTCTCCTCCCCGGTGGGGGCTGTGTCCACACGTGTCCCCTCCCCCAGTATGAGTCATGTTCACGCAGGCCCCTTCCTTGGTGGGAGCCGTGTCCACATGGGTCCCCAAGTGAGAGGCTCGTTCACATGGGGTCTCCTCCCCGGTGAGGCCGTGTCCACACTGGCCCCCTCCCCCTGTGGGAGCCGTGTCCTCGTGGGGCCTCCTCCCCGGTGGGAGCTGTGTCCACACGGGTCCCCAAGTGAGAGGCTTGTTCACACGGGGTCTCCTCCCCAGTGGGGCCGTGTCCACGTGGGGCCTCCTCCCCGGTGGGAGCTGTGTCCACGCGGGCCCCTTCCCCGATGGGAACTGTGTCCACGCAGGTCCCCAAGTGAGAGCCTTGTTCACGCAGGGCCTCCTTCCCTGGTGGGAGCTCTGTCCACGCGGGGCCTCCTCCCCCGGTGGGAACCTTGTCCTCGTGGCCCCCAGGGTGGGAGCTGTACCCACATGGGCCCATTGCTGGTTATGACCTGCTGATACTTGGTTAACTTTATAATCTGTTTAGTTGGTTGACTTTTCCCATTGAACCAGTTCTGTTTCTTTGCTGACACTTCAAATACAACTTTCAATTCCATCTTTTTTTTGGACGTATAAAAAACTGTACGTAATTGTTGTATACACCTTGAGTTTGGTGATAAGTATACATCCGAAACCATAATATACCCATAATGGTGTTCATCTCCTCCAAAAGTTTCCACCTGCCCTCTTATTATTTTGTGATAAAAACACTTAAGATCTAACCTCTTAGCAAACTTTTAAGTATATGATGCAGCGGTGTTAACCATAGGCTGCACTGCACCAAAGGTCTCTAGGATTTACTCATTGTGTTCAGCTGACACTTCAGACTATCACCCCCACCACCATTCTACTCTGCTTCTCTAGTTGGACTGTTTTAGATGCTTGTATCCATGGAATCATGTATTTGTCCTTCTGTGTCTGGTTTATTTCACTTAGCATAATGTTCTCCAGGTCAATCATGCTAAAATGGCAACATTTCCTTTTTTAAAAAAATGTTTGTATTGATTTTTTTAGAGAGGGGAAAGGAGAGAGAGAGAACACGGATGAGAGAGAAACATCGATTAGCCTGCACACCCCCTACTGAGAATCGAGCCCACAACCCGGGGATGTGCCCTGACCCGGAATCCAACCAGGACCTTTCAACTATTTTTTTTTTTTTATCCTCACCCGAGGATATTTTTCCATTTTTTGTACAGATAGAATGGGAGGGAGAGAGAGGAAGGGAGAGAGAGTGAGAAACATCGATGTGAAGGGACACATCGAGTGGCTGCCACCCGCACGACCAACCAGGGCCGGGGACAAACTGCAACCGAAGTACATGCCCTTAGCGGGAACCGAACCCGGGTCTCTCCGGACCACAGGCCGACGCTCTAACCGCTGAGCCAAACTGGCCAGGGCCAACCAGGACCTTTCAGTCCATGGGGTACAGCTCAATCCACTGAGCCATACCAGCCAGACAACATTTCGTTTTTTGTGTGTGGTTTTTTTTTTGTTTTTTTTTTGGTACGTGCCCCTAGTGGGAACCGAACCTGGGACTCTTTGGTCTGCAGGCCAATGCTCCAACCGCTGAGCCAAACCGGCCAGGGCAACATTTCGGTTTTTTTTTTTTTATCCTCACCCGAGGACATTTTTCCATTTTTCTGTACAGATAGAGTGGGAGGGAGAGAGAGGAAGGGAGAGAGAGAGAGAAACATCGACGTGAAGGGACACATCGAGTGGCTGCCACCCACACGACCAACCAGGGCCGGGGACAAACTGCAACCGAACCCGGGTCTCTCCAGACCGCAGGCCGACGCTCTAACCGCTGAGCCAAACTGGCCAGGGCAACATTTCGTTTTTTAAGGCTAACTTATATTCCATTGTATGGATATATCACAGTTTTATCCAGTCATACACGAATGACATTTGGGTTGCTTCCATCCGTTGGCTATTGTGAATAGTGCTCCGGTGAGTGTGGGGGTGCAGGCATCTCAGAGTCTGATTTCATTTCCTTCAGATAATATTGAGAAGTGGGATGATTGGGACATGTGGTAGTTCTATTTTTAATTTTTTGAGAAAACTTTATACAGCTTACCATAGTGGTTGCACCAGTTTACATTCCCATCAAAAGTGCACAAACACAGTATGTCAGTCTTATTAAGGGTAAATTCAAAAGGATTACATAAACCCCAAATACAACAAATTAAGCAGCTGCCTGTTCAGAAATTATTTCTTCAAAGGAAGTGTCTTAAAAAGACACTATGAGAAGATGCCCGGCTGGTGTGGCTCAGTGGACTGAGCATGGTCCCATGGACTGCAGTTCCATGCCTGGGTTGTGGGCTCCATCCCCAGTAGGGGGCGTGCAGGAGGCAGCCAATTGATGTTTCTCATCTCGATGTTTCTCTCTCTCCCTTCTTCTCTCTCTAAAACATCAATAAGAATGTATTAAAAAAAAAACAAAAAACCATATTCAAACCTAGGCCTTAAAATAATCAGCCACTTCATGCCTGGACTGGAAAAGGAGGGGACTCAAATGTCTTTCAGAGCCACAGACAAATCCCTGTGTATTGGGGGCAGCACAAGTAGGTGCTTGGTGCAGCCTGGTTGGGTGTGGCCCTGGCTGGGTGTGAGAGGATGTGGTTGAGACCAGAGCTGGTGCATCTGTGCCCACCCCCTACCCGGAAGCAGAAGCCCAGATTCTCTGGGAAAGGCAGGACTAGAGGGACTCCTCCTCCTGACTTTTTCCAAGGAAGCTGGAAATCTAAAATTTTGAAATGTGAGCTTTGTAAACTTTGAAAAAGTTGGCAACTAATTAAAACTTTGGAGCACTGAGAGGATCAAAGAAACCATGCTTGTTCCTGGTGCGCCCTCTGCTGTGTCTCTGGTGGTGTTTTCATTCACGTGTCCACAAGGGAACATCTAGACCTGCAGAGGATTTTGATAATAATTTATTTGAACCAAATAGAGGATATGCCTGGAAGCGAGATCTTAACAGACAGGAAAGCGCTTCCCATAACGACAGTGTGCAGCTTCTTTTCCGCCTTTGGAATTAAGGAGGGAATGGAAGGAAGATGAGGTGGAGGTGGGAGAAGGCCAGGCCAGGATGGGGATGGGGATCGGGGATCAGGTTACAGGATAGTTAAGATTTGCGTTCATGCATTAAAAGGAGGGGTCCGCAAGGGGGCATTTTAAAGGTGTGTGAACCTAGATGCACAGAAACCGTGGATGGGGCTGGCCTGAGGCAAGAACAAACCTAAAGAAGTTGTAGGCCTGGTGCATGACCACCTACTGTCACCAGTTAGGGATTTGTGATCAGATCACCTTGTGAGGTTACTTTCTGTAGACCCCCTTTTTTAGCCACAAAAGGAAAATATTTGTGGTTTTTCAGAAGACATGGAAAGCCAGATCTGAATCCGAGGAACTGACCACACACCAACATTTTTGTCTTATTTTATATATTTATGCCCAAGCATGCTACTTAAAAAATATGTTTGCATTATCTTATTTACCTCTAAATTAGTTGGGGCTCAATTTCCACTAGTAAGGAACCTAAGCTTTGTGCCTAGAACTGGGCATGGGCCTTGTCTCCTCCTTATACCAGGGGACTGGGGAGACAGGATGGTGCTCACCTCGGAGGAGGCTGGAGCTTGGTCTGTGTCTAAATGCCAGCAATGTTCCATGAAGCAACTTTGTGATACAGTTGCCACTGGAGGCAGGGCTTCAGTTCTGTGCGCTCTGTCGCAGGACTCAGTGCTCTGCAGCGTTGAGATCTGAGTGAGGACAGTTGCCTGTGAGGTGAAATCCTGCTTTTCTGCAGCTTCTGTTTGAAGCATAACTTCCCTGGTCCCTGCAGAGCCCCCTTTAATGAAAGCAGAGGCACCTCAGTAAGATAGCTGACCCCTGAGAAATTGGCACCGCAGATCAACATTGTTATTGTTATTATTTTAACTCTACATGAGGATGTATTTTTACTGATTTTAGAGAGAGAAGAAGGGAGAGAGAAAAACATGAATCCATTGCCTCTTGTATACTCCCCAACTAGGGATCGAACCCGCATCCTAGGTATGTGTCCTGACCAGGAATCAAACCTGCAACCTTTTGGTGTACAGGACAATGTCCAACCAACTGAGCTACCTGGCTGGGGTGGTCAATATTATTATTATTATTTATTTTTTAAATCCTCACCCAACGATATTTTTCCATTTACCTTCAGACGGAGTGGGAGAGGGTGAG